TCATCGTACTCATCATCATCGATCATCATCATCACCGTCTTATTCTCGTCTGTTTCTCATCGAACATCCTGCCTGTGGCTTGATCCATATTTATTTCCATCCCCTAATTTAAGTAATACACATTTTGGCCTTCCCGAGAAAACAACCCCAAAAGGGAATGATTAGTCTCCAAACCTCATCCTCCTTTCGTTTACCATCCCGCTTCCAGATACGGTGTGAAAACCCAGTCCGACTCATACACCTCCCGTCCTCCCAGTCGTGTCCTTAATAGTCCCTCCAGCAATCCTTTCACACGCTCTATTAAAAGAAGAAAGTGAAGAAATGGCTCCCGCAGCTTTATCCGGTAACAATTCGCAGACAAAGAAGTCAACAGTCCCTCCAGAAAGGAAATACAAATGCCAGTTTTGTTATCGTGCCTTCAGTCGAAGCGAGCATCGTAGTCGCCATGAGCGATCACGTACGTTGAGATTTTTTTTTATTTATTCTTATTTTCTGTTCTTCTTGTTCCACCATTTTCAATTATGGATTTTTTTCGTTTTTGGCCCTTGAGCAGTGTGGGGGTTAACCACCGTCCTTCTAAACACGTTCCTTGTCTCCATCCTGTTGAGTGGAATTTTTCCCACTTCTTTTGGTGGTCCCTTTGCACTCCGCTTCACCATATCTCTCTCCGTTCCACTATCAATCTATGTGGGGCAAACTATTAATAATGAAAATTCACCTGACGTATACAATCATACAGATACTAAGGAACGACCCTTTAAATGCCTGAAATGTCGAAGCACCTTTGTTAGAAGAGATTTGCTACTCAGACACGACCGCACAGTCCATGCCAAGGATGGAGGTATCCCGCTTGTCACTGAGGGCCGTCGACGTGGTGGACAAAAAGCATCGACAACATCAAATAAACAGTCGAAACCGTCTATCACAATAGATCCTGCCACTCTGGGTCAGATCGACGCGAGCAGCGACGGTATGGTAGATATTGAAACCGCTGCGATGTTGATGACGGACTTTCAACACAAGGCCGCTGCGGCAGCCAACAACCAACACCACGACGGCTCTGGTCGTGAACCTACGTATTCGCCTGACCATGCTGTGATACTGGAACCTTCCGTCGCATACCTATCTGGTAATGCTACTTTACCGCAGATGCCTTGGGATACCTTTATGTCTACCCCGGATGTTAAATCGCACCCTTCAAGTCTTGAGTCCCAGGACTCGTCCCACAATCATCACCACCGCTCCTCCATTGACAGACATGGCATGGGCTCTGATAGCCTAACCCCAGCCCTACATTCCTTAGTCAACTCGCTTCCAATCTCTGGAAACTCCACGCCAAATGATCTTTCACCCTATCACTCGATGACTGGCCCTGTTTCTCCGGTAACCTATAGGCGGTCTCCTGGCCCAAGCCAAGCCCTTACCTCACCGAGAGCCCCACAGATCGCCAACGATGCTGATCGTGATGTAATTGTCAATCGAGTCAAAAGCGCCGATGTACTCGGGTCTCTCCCAAATAGCTTCCAGCTACCGTCAACGCCAACTCTAAATGGATACCTGACAACATATTTCAACTTGTACCATCATCACTTACCGTTCCTCCATCAGGAATCGTTCGAGCCATCCGCAGAGTCACCGCCGCTCCTTCTTGCCGTACTGTCCATAGGCGCTTTGTACACCTTTGAGCGCGAGCACGCTTTCATGCTACACATTGGATCCAAAGTGCTGGTTAATCAGTTCCTGCAGCGGAAGGAGAACTTCGACTCGAGAAAGTGCCCCCTTTGGGCGATGCAAAGCACTCTCTTGAACATGGTTTTCGAAAGTTGGAGTGGCGATTCCAAGGGTTTGGAGTGGACGTGTTCTATCAAGAGTCTCCTTGCGAATGTAAGATACATATATACCGCCCCTCGTTCCATTCATAATTTCAGGTTACTAACACTTAATCCAGATGGTTGCTGGTAATCGTTACCAATTGAAGCTTCGAATAGATGCCCGAGAAGGCAAACGACCAACTCGTGAAGAATGGATCGAGGATGAAGGCTGTCGACGAACATATTACGCTGTATACATATTTTTTGGCATGCTGACACTGACCTTCAACCATACACCTGCAATTAGTTTTGATGAGATCGAGTCGCTGGACCTTCCTTCGTCAGAGTCAATGTGGAACCTCCAGATTTCGAATGATGACGCCTGGCGACGGGCCCTGGGCTCATTGTCTCCCGTAACCGTTAGAGAAGCCCACGACAGCCTCTTCCGTGGTGAACCACTGCGATACAGCGCATTTGCCACACGTGTTATGGTCAGTGCTCTCTTCCTCCAAGTTTGGTCTCACAAACGTAGTTCCCAGGCTCTGCAGGACGTTGTGACGGAATTCAAGTTACGTGTCGCCATCGAAACTTGGGAGAGGTCGCTTGAGTTTTGTGAGCCGGAAACGATAGTTGTCCCCCTCAGCACGCCTCAGAGAAGCCACCCACTTATCTTCAATTCAATGGCCATTTATCGCAACACGCATGCCCGACTTGAAGTCGATCTAAAATCGATCCAGGAAGCCCTTCGATATCACTCCCCGTACGAAGTTGCCGCAGCCATGACAGTGGCCCGCGAAAAGGTCAAACGATCCGAAGAAATGAATAAGATTATCCAGCAATGCTTTGAATGCATTGAAATAGCTGCCATTCAAGGCATCAATTGGGTTGCGCAAACGTCTGCAACCAATTGGAGCGTGGAGCACCCCCTCTGCGGTTTGGATATGATGGTTATTCTCAGCCTTTGGCTCTACCGTCTGGAACATGACTCAGAAAAGGCTAGTGAGGCTGAATTGGCCATCTATAACAAAGTGCGGAATCTTTTCGATGACGATGCTGTTGACGCCTGTGGGTCGCATCTCAGTTCCACAGTCGCACGGGTGTGGGGGAATATTCTGGATGGTGTGGTTGTTTGGGGGTATGATTCCCTTCTGTTTCTTCCTCCACAGCGTTTTTTTTTTTTTTTACCTTATGATTAACCGACCGTATGCTGACGTTGAGACAACAGAATCACCAAACTAATGGGCGAGGCATTCAAACTGCACTCGCAGGCATTGGTAGGATATGAGGATTCGATGGTGACCTCTACTTCAGAGAATACATTGGAGCCCTTACCCTCCCAAAGCCTTGTAAGTGTAGGAGCAGCATATTAATCGAGCCATTTCTCCCTCCCTCCCCTCATCCAAGACTGATTCTCGAACTTCCATTCAACTGTTCTCTATATATTCTCTTCTACTCCTTTCGTTTTCTACATGCATATACATCTGTCTACTGCAGTTTAATTATCATTTTGTCATTCTTATTATTGCTTTATTTTGTCTCTCATTTATATTCCTGCGGTAGCGTTCATCACTGGAGTTCTCGGACATCTTACTGTCGTAGTACACTTTCTCTTTTTCTCGCGTTCGTTTAACATCGCATTTGTTTTATGTGTTTTATTCGTTTTTTGAATCCATATTTTTTGTTGAAGGCCTAATTTCCCCGAAGCATCGCATCTAAACGCTGCATTCTCTGGGTTCGCCTCGTGCTTTGTCTTCCCCAGTCGATTGGATTGGACCTTGGCCTTTACTGTTGCATTTTGTCGTTTCCTTTTTACTTATCCTTTCCTTACGTATCCCTTTTTAAAGAAGAGCACATAGGAGTCCGGTCTGGTCGGTTTTACTGCATTGATGGGCTGTCGTATGGCAGCATGTATGATTTTACACCGGCTGGTCCTGCGTGTTTCTACCTGGTTTCATCCTCCCTCCCCACTTATCAAATATATTCGCACACGCACACCCACCACTGTCCCTATTCAAAGTACCTCTAATATTTAGGACTTTCCCCATCATATATATATGCGCTTTACTTTTGTTTTTGTGCGGGGGAGATAATATGTTTTCCTCCCCCTTTGCCTTTTGATTTTGATTTTTGGCTTGATACCTTCTTTTTTCATTGCTTAATTCCGCGTTCTTGTTGACTTTTTGTCATATTTTTTTTCGATTCGTTTCCGTTTTGCTCTGATTTTTTGCTCTATTTCCTTTTTCTCGCTTTCATGTAGCTTTTGTTTCTGTTTTCAATTTTCCATCTTCTCGTCGATCTTTTACCAAAGGGTATCTTTCTTATATTATCGTCTAAATCCAGCTTTTAGGGTTATTGTCCTTTTCCTCTTCTCAATCCCCGCTTTGCTATTTTAATATGGCAGGCAGCCCAATATTCTTATTTTTATTATTTTTATTATTTTTTTTTTTTCGTATGCTAATTTTCTTAATTCTGCCAGAGCCATTTCTTCTCTATTTGAGTTGAAGCGGTCAGTAGTACTTAACTATCTTCGCCATTATCAATCCATCCATCCTATCTATTCGCCTGTCAATTTACCCATCTACTTGATTTTATGCATCGTTCATGTTCTCTGTGTCTCTTTTGGCTTGGTTCCCTGTCATCCTCTCCCCTCTCACCCAAATTGTCCTTCAAAATTTCTGCCGCTTCGTCAATACTTTGAGGACTTTTTTAGGGTTCTCTGGGTGCTCTTTTTTTTCTTTTTTTTTTCTTCTTCTTCTTTTTTTTTTTCTGTGGTGCGTTTAACCTTACTAGTTTTCATCTTGCTAAAGTCTTTTTGGTTGGTATGTTCCAATTTACTTACCCTTCCTTTCCCTACTTAAACTCTTGAGTCTCTCCAGCGATTTTGTTTTAACCTGCAATGCCGGTTTATAATATTTCACACGGAAGGTATTTTCCCCTTGTTTTCGTCTGTTGATCTGTTCTTCTCTCTGTTTCTATTCAAATAAGATACCATCCCATGTACTATATGTCACTTGAGTAATGCATTTTATTTTATATCGGATTCATGGCTTTTGTAGTTCATATGATTTTTGCATATCATACCTGTGTAGTCTGAAGATTTGACAGTGAACCACGAGTAATTGTTGATGCTGAAGGTTGATATGAAACTAGGATAATTACCGCTTAACTCCCACGAGGGTGATAAAGTTAGTTGCCATGCAAGGAGTTTTAGAAAGGTCGATTCACCCAGTTCTCCAAGTTTCTCAAGCAAAAGGCCAAGTTATGGCCAGGATCACGACTTCCATTACACCAGTTTACCTTAAACATCACGTAGAACGACAGAGAGTCGCGAGGTGCTACATCCATGTCGATGAACGTATGGTTTACATTTATTTTCATGCGCCGGGGAATTGAAGTTGTTCTTGCGGGACACGGAAGTGTGTAGGTTGAACTGCCGGTAGTTAAACTAACTGCAGCGGAATACATAATTAGTTATCCTGGATCAACATAGCTCCGTCCGGCGAAGTCGGAACGCCCCATTTCCAGGGGAAGCGGTCAGTTCGTCATATCCGTTTCCCCGTGAAACTCTTACGTTCTCGTAAGTGACATATGGAACTTTGCAAAAGGGAATCAGAAAATACAAGAGGGAGGGAAAGAAAGAAAAACGAGAATAGCCGAAAAGACAACCCAAAATTCAAGGCATTGATTGTGCCCATTCCCCTTTCTTATGGATGCACATAATGGAGCTGTTGCGGCGATAGCTGAGCAAGTCCGTCGGTTCCATGCCAACCGCACCCCTTTTCGCATCTACCATGGCTCCACAAACAGCACACGACCCCTCAGCTTCCAGCGTGACAAGCTCGTTGATACCAGCTCTCTCAACCGGGTGCTGCGTATAGACAAGCAGGCGCGGACGGCGCTGGTGGAGCCCAACGTCCCAATGGATCAGCTCGTAGCTGCAACGCTGGAATATGGTCTGGTGCCGCCGGTGGTCATGGAATTCCCGGGGATTACGGTTGGGGGTGGATTTGCGGGGCTGGCTGGGGAAAGTAGCTCGTTTCGCCATGGGATGTTTGATGAAGGGGTGAATTGGATTGAGGTTGTGAAGGGGGATGGAGAGGTTGTTATTGCCTATTCTGCTGGTGGTGGTGCTGATGGCAACGGGAAGGGAAGTGCGGATAGGAGAACAGATCTATTTCATGGTGTTATTGGGACGATGGGGACGTTGGGGATCACCACATTACTTGAACTGCGACTCATTGAGGCCAGGGCGTTCGTCGAAGTTACATATTGGCCTGTATCCAGCGTGCATGAGGCTGTAGAGAAAGTCCAGATCGAATCCACCCGGCCAGCCGGCCAGGTTGATTATGTGGATGGCATCCTCTTCGCTGCTGACAGGGGTGTGGTAATCTCTGGCCGTCTGACGGATTCCATTACCTCTCCAGGCGGTCGGATTCAGCGCTTCACACGCGCCCGTGACCCGTGGTTTTACCTGCATGCGGAGGAAATACTATCTAAATCAATGCCAGGGACCCAACCATATTCACCCCGAGGCACCATGCCAGTGGGAGACGCAGAGGCCGATGAAAAGTCTCCTACAATCGAAACCGTCCCCCTCACGGATTATCTCTTTCGCTACGACCGCGGCGCCTTCTGGACAGCCTCCTATGCCTTCAAATACTTCCGCGTGCCCTTCAATTCCTTCATGCGCTGGCTGGGAGACCACTTCATGCATACCAGAGTCATGTACCACGCCCTTCACCGCAGCGGATTTGCTCAGAAGTACATCATTCAGGACCTGGCGTTGCCACAAGGCCAGGAGGCGGAAGAGTTTGTGGAATTTGTCCAGGAGGAGCTGGGTGACTGTTTTCCTCTGTGGCTGTGTCCTCTACGACAGCGGAAACGGAGGGGCGGGGATGCATATGGCTTAATACATCCGAAGTTGGCTACATCGCCATCATCTGAGGCAGGGGCTGGGAACTCCCCGTTAGGTGAAATGCTGCTAAATATCGGCGTCTGGTGTCCCGGTCCGACTACACACGAAGCCTTTGTCAAGGTCAACCGTGCGATAGAACATAAAGTTCGGGCGCTGCGCGGGACCAAATGGCTTTATGCTCATTCTTATTATACGGAAGATGAATTTTGGGACATCTATGATCGAGAGTGGTATGTGGCGCTGCGCGAGAAGTATGGGGCTGGGTATTTGCCGGATGTATACGAGAAGGTTCGGGTTGATGTTGAACGGGGGCAGGGGCAGGGGGAAAGTGTGTTGGGCAAAATAGGAGTTTGGGTGTGGGAGATTTGGCCTCTGGCTGGGGTTTATGGGGTGATGAGTGCTTTGGTTGGAGGCAGGGGATATTTGGTCGAGGCGGAACGGAGGGGAAGGAAAATTGCAGTGGGGATGGGGATTCTGGGGATATTCTTTCTGTTGCGGCTGTGGGTCTTAGGTGCAATTGACTAGGGGTATCGGGCTTTGAGAAACTCTGGTTTCAAAGTCTTCACGGCATCGAAGTCAAGTAATATGTTTTTCAAGCTGCTTACGCTGTCAAAATTTGGTTCATCAGATGGGCGCCTACAGTTTTCGATTACAACTGGGCATTCGTGTTCGACTCTCTTGGGTCTGCGGGTATTCTGGAGGCTGGATATCTTTCTAGCGGCGTTCTAGATTGGAGGAACATAAAGGAGTGAATGCGTCAAAGGCTATGACCCCGCACCGGTCGGTCAGGTATAAAGGTTGCACACGGAGCTCTGTCTGTGAGTGTGAACTTCCCAAGTTCCGCACTTGGGTAGTTTTATGTGGAGTTGCTGCAGCAGTTATGCATGTACGGTAAATCAGTGCATAGATAATATATGTAGCTATGTTGCAGACGTAGAGATACATCTATTCATGACTTGTTGAATAATGTGAACAACTAACTCATGAGTAGTATTGTTGTCAATCAGATCTTCACTGAGAAGAAGAGTTGACTTTCCCAATGAAGATATATTGAACTATGATCACGGGTATTGTAGGGACTGGGTTTGAATATAAGATTTTATTAATAATTTAATATTTTCTCTCGTCGGAGATGTGAGGGATAATAGCCTCTCATGGTTTACTATATACTAAGCTAGCTAAACAACATTTCACAAATAGACTGGGAGATCTATCCTGACATATCTACGCCATCATGCAGAGGCTGACTTCGTCTGCTGCCAATGAATTAATGACATATCCTACTTTGTAAATGCCAATGCCTTAACCAATGCGAATATTGAAAAATTAACTATGTAGAGAAGAATAGTTACCCAATAGAATGCAGGGCACGGGGCCATTCCGTATAATCAACTTCAAAGATATCTCGAGGTTTGGTGAAAACCGAGCCTAATTTAATAAAGGGAAAGTCTCCCTAAGAATCAGAAAGATTTTTGATCTCAATGCGGACCAAGAACGGGTAGTTAGTTGCTGTAAATTCGATTACTGTAGGCATTGGCATCGGATGGTTTGACTCGGAAAGTACGCTAAAAATTAAGCTTGTTTTCGATGGCTAACCTTAATTAAACGAAAGGTCCACCACACCCAACTTTTCGTCTACAGCTTTTTTTTCTCTGCGCCGTCATCCTCCATATTCACTGCTTATGCATTCAGGGTCTTGAAGAGGTAAAACAGCCGTTGGAGACAACCGTCGATGTCCCGAATGTTTAACGAACCTATATGTGTCTCTGCAACATGAGCATTGTCTTATTTTTCTGCATCATTTTCCATCTGAGCATTCTTCTCTAAAAATCCTAACATAATTTGGTCATATTGTTTCCGTGCCGCGGTTGCGGACGGCAGCTATTTGTCAGAATTAATTTGTTACACCGTAATCTGTACGAAGCATATAATGGAACCAAACTGCTTCTGAGCTACTTGAAATGTTCTTCTTAGCCCACGTTTGAATATTTCATCCCTTGCATAATGTACAGTTCATGTACCTTGCTTTTTTACTCCTACTCGTTTATTTTAAACGCACGAAAAGAAAAAGAAAGGCAACACGAGAACCCCTTTGACGCCGCTAATAAGTGGCTACAAAAAAAGAGCTTGCTTTCTGGATAAACTTTTGAAGAAGAGGACCTTGCCTCAGCAGTACTCATATGAAACTAGAACGGGATCACAAAATCCGTCCTCGTATGGAGTCGTTCTTTTCATTTCGATTTCACAGAAGTGCAGATAAACACAAATTCCTTCTTAACTGAAGGCTGGACTATTCTGCGACCTGTCTTCCAGTTCCGTAGCTTGAGTTGAAGCTAGTCTTTGTTGTTGACACGTTGGCGCACCATGCGCCTCCCGCCTTTCTCGGGGATCGCACTGTATAGATATTGTTGTCCAATATCAAAGTTCGGTGTTGACAGGCGGGTGATCTACAAGCTTATCCAGGCAGAGGGCATGCTGATATCTGCAAGTAATTAGCCACATTCCTTTAATGCGATGGATATAATGACTGGTAGTTCTAGATTCTCATTTATTCAAAGAGAATGGTTGTTATGAGTACCAGTTCCCTTCCGGCGGTTGTAGGGTGTCTGTACGAGGGGTCAACCTTCAAAGAAGTCGCCAGAACGGGTTCAGGTGTCAGCTTTGCATTACAGACTGACTCAACGTGCTCCGTCCGTGCATATCTGGGTCATGTACTCGAACATACATACAAAGCGCCATGGTCGGGCGTCTGTCTGCGAATTTGACACCTTGAGATTAGCTGCGGTTGTTCTTGGAGTTATCGAAACATATTTCCTGTAATATACCTCGACTGGTATATGTATAAAAGTGCGCCGCCTGATTCTGTTTCATATTATCTCTTCAAGATTGGTATTATCAACATCTCCCTGACAATCTGCTTATGATTCTGTCATTTTCAACCGGCCTTCTACTTCTGCCACCATGACTTCTCGTGTGCGATAGTATTTATTTACTGTTGCTTGCTGTGTCCGCTGTCCCTCCAGCGTCTTCCAGATCGTTGGGAATACTTTCTCGTCTCATCTTTCTTTGCCTGTCCACCGCCTTTTAAAAGCCTGCTCCATTTGCCGTTGATATATCCCTTTTCGCATTGGCATAACAACTGTGTGCAAGCTCGAGAGGAACTACAATTTTTTCCAATACAACCGCTCGACGTGGCCCTCCGCTTCCCTTTCCGTCCCCATTGCCTATCCACCTCGCCAGCACTGAATCAGCTGCCCCTAATATCCTCCTTGTTCTCACTCTTGATATACCTATCCACAATTGCATACATGCTCAAATTCTAATTACACTGCAATGGCTCCCTCAAGTGCACTTCAAGCGCTTGCAACGCGGACCGAAGTTTTCAACCCAGCAGCCCGTGACATTGTTATTGTAGAGCTTTTAATGCCCAGTGTCGCCCTGCTCTTGGTCATAAATCGCGTTTACTTTCTCTTGCGGCTCGCTAGATCCCTGGGCTGGGACGACTATACTATTGTAGCTTCTATGGTGAGTGCTCTGCCTCCTTTCCTACGTAGATAGATGACTTTTGCCCCTATTCCTGCTTGGTGCTGGGTACGTCTTTGAATATTCAGACACTAATTTTTAAATCGAATATATTGGTTAGATTGCTGGCATTGCGATGAATTGTTTCCCTCTCATTGGTATGCATCAATCATGCTGGATTCCATATACAGCTGGCGCATGCTGATTTAATTCTAGGCGTTCATCATGGCTACGGGAAACCCCTTGCTGAGCTCTCAAAAGCTGACGGGATCATGGTTATGAAGGTGCACTTTAGACGACTCCATCTGAAGTAAAATTGCCGTCACCCAAAATAACATCTATGCATTTTCTAGATGTTCTGGGCTGTTCAAATCGCCTACAAGTGTTCCTTGAACCTTTGCAAAATATCTATCCTTCTGCTCTACCGCCGCATCTTCGTCACCCGCAAGTTTCGTATTGCCGTTGACATCTCCTTAACGGTTGTAACCGTCTATTTCATTACCACCCTCCTAACAAACATTGCCGAATGCAGACCTATTGCAAAAAATTTTGATCATTCAGTCCCTGGAAAGTGCCTGAGCCTGACAGCCCACTGGCTTGCAAATGCTATTGCAACGTCACTCACAGATATTGTGACTCTTATTCTCCCCATGCCTGTGATTCATAGGCTACGACTTCCCACCAGACAGAAATTCGGTTTGATCGGCATTTTTGCACTGGGAATATTGTGAGCGCAACCCATTTTCTCCTTTCTTTCTCCCTAGCGAGGCATATGTAAGTATATATGTAACAATTGAAGGCTCTAACGATACTCTCACAAACAGCGCTTGCACACTCTCCATAATACGCATGACAACTATACCTGGTGGCGGGAAGGCCAGCGACAAAAGCTCCGGAACAAGAGTCACCTTGAAGTGGGCCATGGTCGAATGCAATACCTCGATAATATGCGCATGCCTGCCCATGCTTCGCACGCCACTCTCCATGCTATTCCCCAATCTCTTCCCGTCATTCAACTACGGGGGCGGTGTGTCATTCTCGCACCAAAGTTCCTTAACGGCCGCTGATACAGCTGAAATATCTCAGAACAACCAACGTATACACGAAGATGAGTTGTTGAATTCACCAGGTGGCACGAAAACCACCACAATACAGGTGTCCATTACTCCGAAGGATGAGGAGGATCTGTGTGCACCTTGGGAAGGGGAAATGGATAGCGAAAAAGGTGGCGTGCGGGTGTCACTGTCGTCGAATCAAAACCAGAATCATACCCAGAAAGGTGGTGGTATACAATATACTACAATTACTACCATCAGTTGTCCCAAAACTCCCACGGTTGCTGTACCCCTTTCCTCTCCGCCGGCAACTCCGCCACCGCGATGGGTATAACCTGCCACAAAGATTGTTTAAATCGGATCATGTGTCGCGCAAAGTGATTTCAAGAAACCATACAAACACACGAGGCTAACGTGGATATGCGCAATCATGACCCCTTGGTGTTCCATCAGCGCTTTTCGCTTTTAAATCTACCTATATACCTCTGCAACGGATGCTATATTACATGTTTCAGCTGTCTGTCTACTGGATGATACGATGCTATACGATGCGATATGCTTTTGCTGATATCTTATGTTTTCTTCCATAATACTGCCTAGCGTACATCTGTTTATGTTAGATGCTTGCGTATGTTGTCCCCCATTACGCCATTCAATTCTCTCTATATTGCGCCGCTCTTCGTCCCGTTTCAATAACCGAGTGGACCTTTTATGTATGTATTTAATTTTATAATCATTCCTTTCTGTTTTCCTTTCTGTTTTCATATCTGTGCTATTTATTGATTACCTCGTGTTGCTGAGGAAGAGAGCTAGCTACGGCTGGCAATTGCATTCAAGTACTGGGTGAGAGAGTTTAAATGGATGAATATACGAATGAATGAATATATATTTGCACCATTTTTATGGGAGTTTCCGCCTCTTTTCTGTCACTAGCTTCATTTTTATTATGCCGCATTTCTCTTTATTTTCCGTTTGAAGCTATGGTAAAGGTGGACTGAAAAAGGAAGTGTGGAAAGGTGGAACTCTATCAAGTTTATTACTCTATGCCACAGTAGCAGGCCTGCAGGGATTAAGTCCGAGGCAATCTGTCCAATGTTATCTATCAGAGATAGGATCTAGTAGGGCTGTTAGTCGAGACTGTAAGGGAATGAAGTCATTTAAAAGGGATTGAGTCAGATAGGAAAGGGGGTATCTGGTCATGGTTTTCGTCTATGAGCAATTAATACATATTTTTGGTTGTAACAGGTCGACGGATGAACATCTCATCTCCAATAGGTGCAAACGTGAGTCGGAAGGGCACAAATAACGTGAAGAGATATCGGAATAGAAAGAGAGCCATTTTTCTATTTCACTGGCGTTCCATGCGGCAGGATGGACAGTTCAACCAAGAATGACCACCACAGAGATTTGCTAAAAACGACAGCGTAGAAACACCAGCTACAGGAAGGACTCCACAACCCACTTCCCGTGCCTCCTTACCTATTACTCTGTCCGACACCATGGAATAGTGCCTTCTTAATCTCTGCAGCCATAAGTCCATTCACCTCATCGCCCACAATCCTCTGCCCCTCCTTAACAACTTTCTCCAGCTGCTGATCTTTCTTCATCAGCAACGTAGCAATTCCTCCACCAAGACCACCCCCAGCCACCCGTGATGAACTATGGTCAATCTGCCAAGTAGCCTTTTTCATCTTTTGCCCCAGGTCCAGGATCTGCTTGCTTTCGTATTCACGATTCGTAAACAGGGGGTTCTGACTGATCGTTGCGACCCAGTATTTATTCCATAGCAGCGATAATATCTTAGTGTCGAGCGTGCTCTTGAAATGCGAGACCTCAAGCGCATAGTACTGGGCCGCATGCGCGCCAAAATCCTCCACCTTATGCAGCGGGATGCTTTGGTATCCATCGTCGTCGTCATGCTCGCTTTTGGGAGGCGTGTAGTCCTTTGGGAATGTCCTGAAAGCGCCAATTTCGACTTTACCAGCAGATATTGTGCGATCGGGATCAATCACGACAGCCACGAAGGGGTCGGAATATGTCTGCTGCGTATCTTGCGTGGAAACATCGATGCCTGATAACCAACATCCATATCCAGGATGACTGTGATACCACCCAATGGCATTCTCAAGACGTCCCGAATCTCTGCATGCTTGTAGATACGTGACCATATACTCATTTGCCTCATCCTGGGCATTTACACGGGTCTCTGTGCCCTCTACTGGTAAGCGGAAGGCGTCTGTGACGATGAATGTGTTGGCAGCGACGTAGCCCTGCATGAGTCCCATGACTTCTAGGTTTCCTCCGGAGCGCGCATGCATTACCATTTTTAACAGAGCGACGGCCGAAATGCGTATGTGTTTGAAGTAATGTGGGTCTTTAGACCAGGGTTTTGCGGCTGTGAGGGCGGCGTGGGCAGAGGGATCGTAGTTGTAGAGGGCATCACGCTGCGGATCGATAAGTTGAAGGGAATTTTCAAACTCTGCGATGGTTGATTTTTAGTTAATAATGATTTTTGTTTCTTTTTCTTACTCTCCACCTTGCTTAAATTAAATTATATACAAAGCAGAGCGGAATATACCCCAAGATTTCATGCCTGCCTCCATGGTCGGTCGAGGCTCACCAGGAGCTCAGGATTGAGGCTCTAGTCGGAGTCTTATGTAGGATATGTCATCGGTTAATGAAGATAATCGAGCTGAAAAGTATGAGTAAAATTAAAGCGATTTGATGAGGCAATGATGGATAAATCGCTTGCTGTTAAGTCTGTATAGATACCCTGTTCTGAAGTTGTAGTTGTCAAAGAGCAACATTTTCACGTGATGTGGGGTAGTTGGACGTGAGCAGTCTTAGTCAGCGGTTGTCGGGGCAACTTCACCGACGTCAACAAATGGACCGCATCCAACTTTATGGAACAAATAAAGACGAAGCCCAAAGTCAACAATCCACATCCGTCCCCACCACCCGCAGCGATTGGCGATCCCTTCGGTTCCATACTCCCTATTTTCTCCCTCATGCTCTCTTTCTTTCTCCCTGCCGTCCTGGTACTCTCAAGCTAATCATGAGTACAGTCTTCATCGCGGTGCCATTCAAGTCTTTCTTTCAGTTGCTTCCTGCGTGCCATCGTTATTGTTTCTGAAATCCCAGCAATAGCAACAAGAGCATTTGCGGCACTGCTTTTGACCCTTTCAAACTATATCTAGCTATAGCTTCTTTATTGCGATTGGTATCTGGTTTACGCGCGTTCTCCACAGGACTGTTTTGTTAGGGATGACAATGGATACCAGCTACCTGACCTCTCAGGTCAACTCCATCGTCGGTCAATTGCATGGACTGTTTGATGAGATAGGTGTTAGTAACCATGATCGCAAGTCGAGAGAGCAAGAGGTAAGCAAGATATTTTAAACACATTGGGTGAAAATCGGTACTAATATACCTTGGTATAGCTCTTTGCATCGCTATCAGACACCCTCCAAAGCCACTTACGCCGCGCTGATTGGTATGAGAAACCAACGGGCGTTTTCTCTTTGTCTACGTTGCTAATTGGTAACAAACAGTGAAAAAAGTGACATGATTAGCGAAGCGCAACAAATCATCGAACTGATTAAACAGATGGAAGCATCTCTTGATGACGTCGCCAAACACGACCGCAAGGTTGAGGATCCAGAGCTCCGGGTTACTTTCCCTCTAAATCTTTGTCTTAAAGTATTGAAGGAGAAATACGCTATCATCAGTAAAATCCACCGTGAAAGATTTGAGCAAATAAAGAGTAAGTTATGTTCTGTCCTCGAAATGCTTGCGCAACAGCTGATTATTTATTTATTTTTTTTTGTAGAGCTGGCCCGGGCACTTGAATCCTATTCCTCCCATCTTGAACCCTCATTTGTGATGATTCCACTTCCCCCAACCACTGATGGTGCTTCCATCCCAACTTCATTTGATCTCTCGCCATCCTATGCGGCCGAACTCGATAAGGAGTTTACCAGAGTTTATGAAGAATACACACGTCGCGTGCAGGTAGTTCAAAGCATTTCAGAGGAAATAGTCAAGCTTTGGGTGGAACTAGGCACCCCGCAAGCACAGACCGATGCATCAATCATTAAGCATCACCGCGAGTCCCCGGAGCAGTTGGGATTGCATGATTCAGATCTCGCTTCTCTCAGAGAAATACGAGATAAATTAATAGAAGAAAAACGTGGACGGGAACGAAAACAGAAAGAACTACGAACTGCGGTCGAATCACTGTGGGAACGCCTGGGCATCGAAGAATCCGATAGGAAGAGTTTCCTTGCTGCAAATCGCGGATGTAGTCTCAGGGCGATAAATGAATTCCAGGATGAGCTGAATCGACTGAATGAGTTGAAGAGGCAGAACCTTCACCTGTTCATTGAGGACGCTCGCTGTCGGCTCCAGGGACTTTGGGATAGCTTATATTATTCCGAGGAAGAGATGCTTGATTTTACTCCTGCGTTTTCAGACGTCTACAGCGATGCTCTACTTTTAGCACACGAGGCAGAAATCGAACGTTTAGAGACACTCCGAGAACAACGGGCGCCGACACTTGAACTCATTGAGAAACATCGCACCCTTGTGAATGACCGCAATACCCTGGCTGCCTCTAGCCAGGACGCGTCTCGTCTGATGGCTCGTGGTAACAAGGGGGAACGTCGTGATCCTACCAGACTTCTAAGGGAAGAGAAGATGAGGAAGAGAATAGCGAAGGAGCTACCAAAAGTTGAAGCTGAACTGCGTAGAATCCTTGAGCAATGGGAAAATGAATACGGAAGACCATTCCTAGTTCACGGTGAGCGATATCTGGATGAAATCCAACCTCCTGCCCCAGCAAAAATCCCCCCAAGATCGAAAACGCCATGTGTGCCCTCTCAGAACAGCCGGGCAAATTCTGTTAGAACTCCATCATCGATGCGTGGCGGAGGATCAATTAGGGGTTTACAACCTCCTTTCCATTCAAAAACGCCTACCGGAAATGGCACCCTTAGGCGCAATGCTGGGAATCCAACTATTGAAAATGGCATCAAATCGCCTTCTAAAATCCCAGGTCGCGTTCCTCTTAGCAACATGCCTTTTGGGAACAACTCACCGGATCGCCGTCCTCCTCAATCACATTCTTCAGATGTCCGTAGCAAAATGCCACCACCCCGGGCTCCTCCTCCTAAGATGCGTGATCTCGCTTCAGTTGCACGCCAGGAAACTCCCCAGAACTCATTTTATGCGGATACGGAGCGCTGCAACAGTGCGATGTCGTTATCTACCTCTTATGTTAGGCAAATCAGCCAGGAGGATATTTGTGATGATAGAAACCAGCACAGCTACATGGGTTCTTCCACGTCCCACTATAGACCGGAATCACCCCAATCCACTTTCAAACCGTTCAACCCAGCTGCCAGTCTACAAGATTTGAACTATTATAACCATCAGAGACATCAATCACAACCTCAGCCAACATGTTACATGCAACAATCACATCACCCGGAGCCAATGGGCCCTCCTCCCCGGCCAGCCAGTCGCCAAATTTCAAATACCTCTACCGTTACTACTAGCACATCTAGATCCGAGAACTGGGAAACATATGACGACGCATCTGAGCCCGAAATTGACGCAACAGATGTTTATTACGCGAAGATGAGAGCCGCACAGGGCAAGTTGCAGAATGTGGATTCAAGCACTATGAACGGTAAAAAGTTCAAGGGGATCCGTGGTGTTGGCATGGAAGAGAATTTTGTCGAGGAAAATGGACAGATTACGAGAATTGTGGGTAGCGATGCTGGATGGACTGATGATATGGAAACCTATTAATGCAGAAGTCACTTCATTTTGTTTTAATACCGAAAAGGAGCCTTGACACTTAAACAGGTTCCCTCGGTGTGTTTGATCACGCGTGAAACGTCGTGGTAAAGGCTCACAGTTCTCCTTTTAAAAAATACGACTCTACAAGGACGGTTTTATGAACACGATGAAATGAGTTGTTTTTCCTTGCCATTTCCATTTTTGCCCTGGCTTTCCTCCTTCGCCGTCATCACCTTGTATAATGTGCCCTCCCCGCCCTACCTTATTAACGGATTTCCTTTTCCTTTTCTTTCTTTCGTCCCATCGGATGAACGTTTGATGCAGGGGTTCATTAGGCACACTTTCTAACCTTCTTTCCGATTCCTGATCTGCTAGGAAAACTACCCATCTCTTCCCCTATTCGCAATCAGCATGTCTCCATCCAAGGGCGAAAATGCTGACAGTTTTACGGCAGTTGTTCTTTTGTTTTTATCTCCCATTTGCGTTTTTCGACCTTATGACTGGCCTATTAGCTCTTTTGCATGTTTCTTTGATGACCGACCCTTGAGCTCGCTTCACCTAAGCTTGACGCTCTGTTTCGTTATTGTCCTTTTTCTTGCTTGTCTTTATATTTCCCCTTCTTGTGTTTTTCAATTGCAACGTTTTGGCGTTCGGTTTATGAACAAAGTTTTGCGTGTTTGCCGTATTTTTGGCTGTTTTGCTTCGGGATGCTTTTTCTTGTCTGGCTTGGTTTAGTTATTGTGGTTTTCTGTTTCTCTTTCTCCTTGACGTGTTCTTTAATCGGTATCGGTTCTGCCCTTTGCTTTCTTGGTTTGTCATTGCTTTTATTTGCCGGCCCGCATTTGATTTTGTTAAAGAACATCTTTCTATGTTGTTTATGGGCATCTCTTATTTTTCTCTTATAATTTGCTGTTGATATTGGTACTTTTGATCGATTATCTGTTGTTTTAATATCTGTTTTTGTTACTGTTGGGAGATGTCTGTGCCGGCTTCGAGAAGCAGATATGGCTATTGATTCAAAAACAAAATTCAAATGTGTTCGCCTGCTCATTGCCTCATTAATTACTCTGTCTAGTATCTCGATTTACTATTGAATCCTTTTTTTTAACAACTCGCCAACCGCTTTCCGCAAGAAGAATACTTTAAATTCTCGTATGGTGGGAGAATATATTGCAAGAGTTGGGACGCAAGATATGGATTTTTAAAAAAGAATTCTAAATGTCATAATAAAAGTAATTAATATACGAATCTAAATTCTCTATGCTAAAAGCAATAGCGACATGGTACAGTATTATATATAGACGTACATGGCTAATAAGTTATAGTTAGCCATCATCAAGCATCACTATTAGCAGCCTGTTTCTTCAACGCATCCCAACTCCTGGCCCCGCCCTTCAACCCCGCCCCATCAATTCCACCCATCAAACTCAAACCTTCCTGCTGCATTAGCATCGTCAGCTGCCGCGCCTCCTGCAATCTCCGCACGCATTCTTCACGGCCTAGAATGGCCATCGTTGCCGGGATGTTTATCCCTGGTGCTCCACCTAATAAGGCCCAGCGGAGATAGTGGTAGATGTCTTTGCGGAATTGTTTTTCGGAGGCAGAGGTGGAGGGTGGCGATGTTGATGCTGCAGAACTTGTAGCGCATGGGGATGCGGATGGGGATATGTTATCGGCAAGGAGGTTTAATATGTTTTGCTTATGGGTTTCTGTGGTCCAGTGTTCGTCTGGCACTAGACAGAGGGCTGCAGCGGCGGCGTGGAGGACTGTGATCGGGGTAGCGGTCGAAGCATTGGTAAGAGGGACTGTTCTGGGTGTTTCAATTTCGGGTTCGAGTTGGCTTTTCTTCTTGGATGGAGAGGGGGTAACTGGATCGTAGGCTGGTCGGTCGAGGGTGTTCGTGAAGAATGACTTGTTGTCATCGATGAATTTTGACGCGTTGATGTAGGTGCGGGCTCCGCCTTCGCGGATTATGGAGGCGATGCGTTCGCGCTGATTATGTTGACCTAGGAGCTGTTCACTGGTGTATCGCTGTTTCAAGGCCTTCTCTATTCGATCGATCATGAACTCGAATTCGGGGCCTCCTTTAGTTGCATATCGCTGCGCGTGTGCGCTCTGTAAGAACCAGAGTTTCTCGAAAGAAACGATGGCATTTCCTTTGGTGAGTTTTAGGTCAAACTATTGCATAATCTATTAGCATTTCCAAGAAAAGGCCTTTTGCAACCAATGGGGTATTCGAATTTCCATACCGTTTGTTCCAGCTCCTTCAGGCTGAAAATGTCGGTTTTGCGGGAATGGGACCAGCCCAACAGTGCGGCGAAATTGTCCAAAGCTTCGGGGAAGACTTCCTGCCTATCTCTGAAGAACGAGATATCAATATCCACGTTTCGCTTGCTGAGTTTCTGTCCGCTTTTCTCGGTCAGGAGAGGGACATGGCCGAATGCTGGTGGTTCCCATCCAAAGGCATTATACAATGCAACATGCAACGGTGTTGAGGACATCCATTCCTATACAGTCGATACGTTAGAAAATACACCGAATGGCGGGGGAGATTTCTCATCGTACCGTGCCCCGAATGACATGAGATATCTTCATATGATGGTCATCAACCACATTGGCAAGATGGTAAGTGGGATAGCCATCCGATTTGATCAAGATCGGATCGCTCTGCTGGCTACTGAGCCGGCCAGCACTCGCGGTTAGATTCTGGCCAGTTTTCCCGAAAACGAGATCTGTGAACATAGGAAATGGCCCAGACACACGCAAGCGGACTACGTTTGATTCTCCATTCCTAGAACGATCTTCAGCCTCCTCTGGTGATATCCCTCTGCAGGTTCCGTCATAGCCAGGTAGCAATCCCAGCTCATTGCGGTGTCTGGCAAGAGTATCGAGCCGTTCCGGTGAGCAAAAGCATCTATATGCATGTCCCGTAAAAATAAGTTTTCGGATCTCCTCCTTGTATATACCCATGGACGTTCGTTCGGACTAAAATCAGTGACTAGTTAAAATCCGCCTTCACCATTCCATCATCTACCACAATTGACTACACAAAAGTAGCGTACCTGTCTATAAGGACCATAAGGGCCACCCACAATAGGGCCTATATGCCGTCGTCAGAAATACAGATGGTCTTCTTCCCTACTAGCAATATCAATCAACAATACCCTCATCCCACTGGAGTCCAGCCCATTGTAAATCCTCACACAGCCGCTGCTCGGCCCCAGCAATTGTCCTTTTCTTCGACAATCAGCACGGAAGGATTTAGAAAGACGCTGCAGGTGTTAATGAGAAAACCAACCTGATCCGTATCCTCTATGCGCAAAAGAAACTGTCCGCCGGTTCTTTTCGCAAGGAGGTAGTTAAACAAGGCTGTCCGCAGGGAGCCAAGGTGCAGGTAGCCCGTAGGAGATGGGGCGAACCGAGTGCGCACCAGGGAGTCTGGGAGCAGCCTGCTCTGTCTGTGCCCATGACTGGCTGTTGTTGTAGAGAAGAAACTTGCGCCGCAAAACCTACCGGGAGCCTTGGTGAATAGAGCACGAAACGGCGGCCTCATTGTCCGGCGTTCCACACTCAAAGGAAAAACGCAAAACAGAGCGCTGAATACTCGCAATGTCGATTCATCTGTAGGGAAAGAAAGGGAAGAAAGTAAAAGAAAAAGGAAAAGAAAAAGAAATCTCCTCTGAAGACCTGTGACGGGGCGAAAGTCCAGTTCCTGTAGCGTCGTGGACTTTAGCAGCATGTGCAATGGCTGATTGAGGAGTAGAAAACTCGCCGCCCGCTGCCAACCAATTTTTTTTTATTTGCACTTTAGTTTTTCTTTTTTTACTCCTCGAGGAATAATTACTACTAACAACCTCCACAAAACAACACAACAACCCCTCATGCACAAAATACCTCCAGCTGCTCTCCTGGTTTCTTCAAGTCGTTCATTTAACTGTTAAATCCTTCTTCAAATCAGAGCACTAGAGAGTGTAAATTTATCAAATTTATCAAATTCCTTCCAAAAAGTGAGTTTCTGTATTGCGCCCGAGTTAACTCCCTGCTGACGAGAAAGCCCTTGTCTGTCGTGGCGTGGCCAGTCTCACTAATTCGCAACAATAGTGGACTTCATCAATGGCGAAACTGATTTATACAGTTAGTCTTCCCTTTCTCTATGTCATATATATATATGTATACATTCATGAGTGGTCCATGCAACTAACCAGTACCAGCTGTATTGAACATCGAGAGATCCGCGACCAAGGAGGAAATTCGAAAGGCGTATCGCAAGGTAACGAAATCCCTAAACCGTCCATCCGGAAGTTCTTTGGGAACCACGAACTAATGAGCATTACTATTTCTTTCTATAGGCAGCTCTTGCACACCATCCCGATAAGGTCTCGCCAGAAGAAAGAGAACAGGCCGAAGTACGATTCAAAGCTGTTAGCCAAGCTTACGATATCCTTTTTGATGATCAGAAAAGACACCTTTATGATACTCATGGAATGTGGGCGTTTGATGGGTCGGGGCGGCCGGGAATGCAAGGTGGTTCTGATCTTGATGACCTCCTTGCGTCGATGTTTGGTGGTGGTATGAACATGGGAGGCGGCATGCCAGGGTTTGGCGGACAACGGTCGAGCAAACTCAGGAAGGGCCAAAACGAGGTTAAAAAATATGCGGTGAGCTTGGAGGATTTATACAGGGGCCGGACCGTCAAGTTTTCAAGTACGAAAAATGTCATTTGCACTCTTTGCAAGGGGAAGGGCGGGAAGGAGAGGGCAACACCAAAACAGTGCTCTCCCTGTGGGGGGACAGGTAAGGGACCCTGATATGCTTGAACAGAGTAATTCAGTGACTAATAATGAATTTTTTTTAACTACAGGTTGCAAGGAAACCCTGGTGCAAGTTGGCCCGGGCATGGTTACCCAAACCATGGCAGAATGTAAGGTGTGTGAAGGTTCAGGGAGCTTTTTCCAGCCAAAAGATAAGTGCAAGAAATGTAAAGGGAAAAAGGTTACGGAAGAGAGAAAGCTGCTTGAAATCTACATCCCTCGAGGCGCGAAGTATGTTTAGATTGCCCTTTCTGACAGAAACCAGTCCCGCCGCTAACCGTTTCCTAGACAAGGTGACAAAATTACACTAGAGGGCGAAGGAGACCAGTTCCCAGATATAGAGCCGGGAGATATCGTGTTTGTCTTGGAAGAAATCAAACACAACACGTTCCGAAGAGCCGGTGCCGACCTGATGGCCGAGATTGAAATCACGCTGGCGGAGGCAATCTGCGGATTCTCTCGTGTGGTGCTGAAACACCTCGACGGAAGAGGAATCGAGATATCTCATCCTAAGTCAAACGGCGCCATTCTAAGACCGAATCAAGTTCTCAAAGTCGCGGGCGAAGGCATGCCGTTTAAAAAGAGTGATGCAAGAGGTGATCTTTATCTGAAAGTCAAAATAACGTTCCCTGAGGATGGTTGGGCCTCGGACCCGACTGTCCTTGCAAAGCTCCGGGAGGTTTTCCCTGATCCCGGCACAGCCATCGAAGCTGAGACGGTGGATGATGTCGAGTATGACCCGAATGGAAATCTCGAGGACTTCGGATCCAACAACAGCCGGGGAGACTCAGGTTGGGAAGACGAGGAAGAGGAAGAGGGCGCGCAGGCACAGTGTACGACACAGTGAAGGATTTTCTACCTTTCACGCTGTCTGACTAGCCCCGGGGCCGTATGTTATGCCTCGTACTTTCCCGTATTGCCGTGCCATTGCTAGAATAGAGCGTGCATGATTGTGTTGGAAGTCTGGGAGCCTGAATTGCCCGGTTACTTTCCTGTTCATTCTGTTCTTCTGTCCCGTTTTCTCTGTAATATCTTCTTCGCCGCAAATCAGCTTCGGGTCGAAGATTTTTCCCCAGAAACGAAGAATACTGTCTTTAAACGTCTCCCAAGGTTGGAGCATGATATTCTAACGACTCTTTGTTATGATGATGAATGCGGTTGGGTTTACTGCCATTACATGAATATGTATCATCCTTGTCCTTCCCCCACCCCCTTTTTTATTTTTATTTTTATTTTATTTATAAAAGTATCCATTGTTATTGTTTGGGCATTAGGATTAGATCGGCCGGAAGGATTTATTGACCTGGGGTCTATTAAACAGAGGGGTTAATGTTAGGGGTCAGCACTCGATAAAAAAAAAATCTGAATGTACATGTCATGTACATTACAAGGGGTTTAGCCCAGTGCTAGGAACTATCAACCTTGGAAATGTGACAGCAACTAGAGCTCACTCATCTCTGGTTTGGGAAAGCTTGGTCTTTGGAAGCTGTGTGATACATTTTTCTCTATTGAAATGTGCCAAAACTTCTGCTTGACGTAGGCCCAGACACTCTCAGAGCCATAACTTACCCAATAATCGAAAATGCATGCGAGTGCATCTCTTTTTCAAAAGGAGCACGCAAAGGATCCTCTCCGCCATCAAACCAACGAAACTCACTACAACTTCGGTATCCCTTCATTCTCTACCCCTTTCACCACCAGCCTCTCCAATCCCTTCCGAATTCTCACATCCATCCCCTTCTTCCCACCTGCGTCTCTGCCCACTGATCTTATCCCTCCCTTCTCCACAAACACATGCGTAAATCCTCCGACGGCTTTAACCGCATCATCTCCACGGCGGAAAATGCCCACTTCGTACTTCACGCTTGAGCTGCCGAGTTTGATGACGCGCAGGCCTAATGGAGTCAATGAGAAAGGCGTAGATGCTGTTGTTTAGATGTGCGTACATGTCGTTGTCGGACCTGTTGCAGAGGATCTCAAAATTAGCTTTGCTTTCATATGGGCACAAATTTTTCGCACCAATGGGCATTTCTACACTCCAAAACAGAGGCAGATATCCATGGATCATGTCTATCAGATAGGCAATACGCTAACATTCAAGGTTCGATAATCTATAGACCAGCGCACTCACCATCTTGTCCGATATTCTAAGTGGAACACATAATCTTTTCTCGTCTTTCCGCTTCTTGCGTTCAAGTTCTGTCGGCGCCATTGTCACGGCTTCCTCATGCAAAAGGATGTTTTACAGAGATTAAACTGGACTAAATATGTAAATTATACTAGACTCCCGAGTCCTGAGGTGTTGACCGATCGGTTGCTGTCGAGTGGGACAAGAAATTCTGCTTCAAACGTGGGAGCAGGAACCTCGGTTGATTTGAGAGATCGATAAGATAAGCTTAACTAATTAATAAGGTCACATGATAACCTTATTTTAGCCTCAACGACCATGTCTATCCTTAACATTTTTCTGGCATTTTTTTGACGGGTCACTAAGAGGAGTAATGTTTGTTAAGATAATATATTCTTGCTAACTTTATTCACACTGTCCATTCCTCATCTCATCCCTTCCTTTTATTTTCCTTCAATTATATCTATTTTCTGTGTTATTCAAATCTCCAACGCCCGTGGCTCCCTCTCCCCGCGTTCTCGCCTACCTGGCGCAGCGGGGTCGATATCCGACTCCCAGCATGAGTCTTACCACCGTCGACCACTCGTTTCCTTTAAGAGAGGACGCTTTTAAGCCTCCGCCGGACGTCGTGGTGACACCTTGTGACCCTTTGCCTAGACCATATTATATCGAGGGTGGCTTGCGCAGAGTCGCACCATATCACTTCACTTATAATACTTATTGTAAAGAACGGTGGCGGGGAAGAGGGTTGTTGGATGTTTTTGGAACAGAATTTAGAGATAGGCCTCGCGAGTATTATGTAGGTTGATAATTTTCTGCCGTTATCGCTGTTCAGCCTTGCTGAGCTTGTCTGAGAGGCGAATCGTTCCAATGTAGAGTTACTAACGGTTTGGACTGTAGAAAAAAGCTATTGAAGACGGCGCCGTATGCATAAACGGAAAGGCAGTTACAATAGATACGAAAATTCAAAATGGCGACGTGATTTCGCATACCCTCCACAGACACGAACCGCCGGTCACCAGTCAACCGATTGGTGTAATCCACGAGGACAATGACATGATCGTGATTGATAAGCCTGCAGGGGTACCTGTCCACCCTGCCGGAAGATATAATTACAATTCAGTTCTTGAGATAATGAAGGCAGAGCGGGGACACGGATGGGTTCCTTATCCATGTAATCGCCTCGATAGGTTGACGTCGGGTGTTATGTTCGTCGGTAAGCACCCCAAGGGTGCCGAACAAATCGGAGAAAAGCTTCGTTCACGCACTGTGCGGAAGGAATATGTCGCACGGGTGAAAGGGAAATTCCCAGATGGCGTGGTATTGTGTGATCAACCTATGTTGAAAATCAGCCCAATTCTTGGCCTCAACCGAGCAAGAGCTTCAGGAAAGGAAGCTAGAACAAAATTCCGTAGAATCGCATATTATCCACCGTATGAACCAGCGGAGAAAAGCTCAGTTTCGTCAACTGAACCGGCCACCCCACCTGCCACTCTGCCAGATGAAATGAATATCAGCAACTCATCAACCGCTACGCCGACGGGAGTGGCTACTCCTGTTCCCAAGAGTTCAGATGAGGAAGGCTACAGCATCGTCCATTGCCTCCCGTTAACCGGGCGTACCCACCAAATCCGTGTCCACCTTCAATATTTAGGATATCCAATAACCAACGACCCGATCTACTCCAACCGGCGAGTTTTTGGCCACAGTCTTGGCAAAGCAGATGCAACCGGAGACAACGACGAGCAGATAATATACCGGTTGTCTAAAATGGGCAAGACTGAGCCCGCTGACTCCCTCAGTTACCAAACTTTCCAAGCACCTCCGCCCGAATCAGTCACCAACAATGACCCTGCCGTTGTGGATGACCTGCTAGCCAAAGAACATGAAGTGATGGTTAACGACTATCTGAAACGCAAAGGGGAGAAGATGAACGGAAAACAGTGCGAGACGTGCGGAACGGAGCTGTACACTGATCCAGGCGTGCATGAGTTGGGAATTTTCTTGCATGCCGTGGCGTATGCAGATGTCACTGGGGCATGGAAGTACAAGAGTAAAATGCCTGGATGGGCATTACCTCCTGAGGGCATGGAGGGTCCCACTAGTCCCCCGGATTGGGTAGATGATGGAAACGAGGAAGTCATAGGAAAAGGACAGCATGGGGACGCAGCATTGGTGGAGGGGCTAGGTGCGGTGAACTTGCAGGAATTGGTTGATAAGGATAAGAAAGAGGTTTAGGCGAAGGAGAAGAGGCATTATAGTGGTGGTATAGGGGTTGCATGAGAAGTCCGCTGCTGTCTCAATAAAGAGGCGCTGTTATCAGAATGGATTGATGAGCTGGTGTCTTGTTGGCTTCTACTATTTCATATATAACATACCTCTTAGATAAAGCTACGCCTATTTGGAGGCTTTGGGTAAACCATCAAAATATTTTCTTCTACCCTTGAATCCCCCTGAAGAAAGTGCCGCGTTGTCGAAGCTGGTAAGAACCGGCGACTACCTTAGCAATGACCACCGGGGCATAACTAACTAACTAACTAACTAATAGGCGCCCGCCCTGAAAGGCTGCAGCTGCATGGGTTCACTTTAACAATCCTTCTTTTCTTCCGTCCCCAAACCAGTCGCCTTTTATGGAGCTCCGTGTCGAGCAGAGACCTGCTTTTGTGGCTAAAAAGGGCAGCCTGAGAAAACCCAGATGAAATTTCGAGTTTGTTTTGCTGACAACAGCGTAATTAACCTCTTAAAAAAAAACTCTCTCGCCCACCAATAATGTAGAATGATAATTTCTCAGAGATGCATCGCGTCTTTCATCTGCTTTGCATTATTCGGTTTGATTCAGATAGTTTCAAGTGAGCAATCTTTTCACTAAGGCTTATGAACACAGGGAGACATCAGAAAGCAATGAGGCTTGTTCCAATAATGAAGCGGTTATAGTCAGTGGCGAAGAAATGCAGTCAATAATGAATGAGGATGTAGACAGACAATTTCAGTCTTAGACTACAATTCTTCAACATGAGATGTTTTCTGATGTACAAGATAATCACCTACGTAAAAAGAGGTTTGATGGCTTTTGACTAGATTTGGTTCAACCTCATCACAAATCTCTGATTCATATATGACATTCCTTGTATAATATCTCCCTCCTAACAGGAGATGATTTCCCACGTAAAATAATCTACATCAAGTGAAGTCATGATAGACCATTGACTTCCCTGAGTGTATGCAGGGGTTCCAGCGGGTAAGATGAAACTGCTACCCCAGTGTGGGCGTGTTGAAAGGGACGGACCTCTTAAAATGTGCCATCGAAACCCTCCCTTGAATAGCTTAAATAGGTTAGCTTCATGAAATGGCTAATGTTTCGGAAACCAATTGTTAACTGCATTGTTTTTCAAGGTGGTGAAATCCCAGGGGGAGGGAGGCAGCGGCAGCGGAAAGGTTTGGGATCCGACCAGCTAGAACTTCAGTGTCGTCTGTCTACATGGTGAACAAGGCTGGAGCAATATATGAAGAATAGAAATAAAGTCCATATATTATGCTGATATTTGTGATGATCTAGAAATTCAGGACCATCTCTGCATCTTCAGAGTTAAACCTTTCCGAAGGAGCAAATACGAAAAATGAAAATGAAACAAAGGAGGAAAAAAAAAAAAAAAACTGTTCAAGTCATCACGCCGGAGAAGCACATAAAATAGCAGTTTCATTCCGTGAATTAATTGGAAATGGGGTTTCAAACGGCTATTTTATTTCTCAAAATGCTTTCGTCAAATCACAAGCCTCCTATCCCGTACATATAAACGTAAAAGGGAAAAAGCAGAAAACAAAAACTGACTACGACTCAGTCGTGAGTCTGCCCTTGGGGTTGGTGACTTTGACACCGAGTGCCTTGGCCTTTGCGATGATGTCGATTCTCTTCCCTGATGAAACAGCATGTCCAATCCTAGAAATAGAGGACCATATTAGTATTGGACATAGGATAATGTCTACTTCTCTCGTTGACTTTTTGAGAATGGTGCGACCAGGTAGGTAGATGTGAGGTTCAACATACTCAGCAGCGTATGTCCGGTTGTGCATCAACAAGAGTTCAACATCTTTGGGGTTCTGAACGAGGAAGACCTTGTGGCCGGAGGGAGTCAAGTGTCGGGTCTTCTTGTTGCTTCCGTAACCGATCTATATCATTTCCAAGATGGCAAATCGTCAGCCGTGACTCCTAGAGACCCAGTTTCTCAAGGTTTCCTTCATGTCTCATCGTGCTGGAGTGACCGGAAAGACCTGCGTCCCGCCAGGTCGGGCATATATTAATCGTACCTTTGGCATAGAAGCCTGGCCACTGAACCGTCTACGGACGCGGTTGTCGATGCCCTTTGGTTTTCGCCATGACGGATCGACACACTTATAGCGATCTGACTGGTGGCGGTTGAAGCGTTTCTTGTCTGTATACCCAGAAATCCTCAAATCAGCCTTCTGATCCCTTCCAGATCCCATTATGAACATTCCCAGAGCGTTGTCATCTCCTCCACATAATTCCCCAACACTATTTCCATCCGTATTCCCACAGACTGCTGTCATAGCTTCATAACCAACGGATACTCCGAATCCTCAAAGACACTGGAATTAATTGGGGGCACGTACGCTTCTTCACGATCGTGATATGCTTCTTTGCGGCGACCATCTGCTCAATTCCCAGTTATTAGCTCGCGTTCCAAGTTCCCAGACAGCCCAAAAATCGATTGCCGCCCGTCAGCGAAGAGCAAAGACATACCTTGGCGGTATTGTGCGGTCCCGAAGCTGGTCGTGGGAGGTTGTCGTCAATGGGTGAATTCGGTCGATGGCGGACTATTCGACGACGTTTGTCTTTGAATTTTCCAGCCAGAGTGGAATTTCGGCGCTAGTTGGCTTGCTAAGCGAGGCTGGTCGACTAGGGTTTCTTGAGGAAGCCCTAATGCCTTTTTGGGTATATCACATGACCTTATGTTCTAACCTTACGGCTAGCAGCGTAAGTTATCTCCCAGTTCCCTGACTTCAGTGAATTAAGTGAACTAACTCAACTTCAACTTCAAACAAGAGAGCCATACAATGGCACGAGAGAATCGAAAACCTGCCCATATAGCACGCAGAAGGGCATGGAAATCAGAAAGTTTGCATGACACACCCAACCATGTGCCTCCTCGCTCCCTGCAGTCAGGAGCCAGCTCTCCTGGTTATTTCTAGGCAACTTCGCAGCTGGTCCTCCGATGGTTGTGATGTTAGCCATGCACCCTTTTAAATACAATGTGATTGTTGGAGAAGCCGAAATTATATTCCAATAAATTCAAAACATGAGATTGTTGCCAAATGACAAACCATAGGACGACCCTGGAATTATCATAAGGTCGTAGCAGGAAGAACCTCAAACACATGACCAAAGTCATGTGTAATAGCTACAATGATTGCGTTTTGTTGGCTATAAATGTATAGGATTTCCCAACATCAGCCTTATAGAGGGAGTCTCCACTGTTTCTTGGTGAAGGGAAATTCCAAATCTTTGAAATGCCTCTGAAGAAATATCTTAAGTCACCATCAGAACACGTTTGTATGCCCCGATACACTAGAAAAGCCAACCTCCTTGATTTGTCCCCGCTGTCTGCACTTTTATGCAAGGGAATTATGGGGGATCTTTCTACTGAGATATTTAATGCAATCAGGTAACCTGGAGGCTTACAATCCATCGCGAGATATACATAGCCAGGTGCGCAGTTCAAGCTAACCCCACTCACCAGGGACCATCACACATCGTTTGGCAGCATTGTTGTTAAGCGTGTTCCGCTATGTATTCCACCCCACACCGATACGCCAGAGCTCTATGCTCTAGGGATATCGCGCTTCGCAGAAATATACTTTGCCTTTGAATCAGCCTGGCTCTCACAGCTATCTCAGGCTCCATCTACTGGAAACTCCAGCAGCCCAGATGAATATGAGATCCTGGATTCCTTCGTAAATGATGAGCACGGCCGCATTAGAAGTATATTAAGCCGGCTTTACATTCCCGAGTTACTACGAAGCGACAAACTCAAGTCAGACTTGCGCGCATTGGGGTTGTCACCTGGAGCAGGGGACGCAGGACAGGACACCTCTAGTGACGACAATGCATCAAAATATATTGTGCAGGGCAATGCCGCATCCGCGTTTGCAGCACATATCAAAGCAGCCACAGAGGAACACCCGCATCTAATCATCATCTACGCGTGGATAATGTACCTGGCGTTACTCAATGGGGGACGTCGCATCCGCACAAAGCTCGCCGCGGGTGGCCACGACTTCTGGAACTCCGGCACCCGTAAGAATGAAGATGGCAGCAGAGGCGGGATCCCAAACGGCCTATCGTTCTGGTTCTTCCACCGCGACGATAAAGACCTGTACGATGACGAAGGTATCAAAAAGGAATTTAAACGACGTCTTCTTTCTGCCTCGTCGCTCCTGACCATCTCGGAGCGGGCGCAGATCATCGCTGAAGCGGTCAACATCTTCCGACATTGCAGTCGCATCGTTGCTGAAATTGATGTCGAGGTTGAAAGGGCCGGGCTTGGTCAGAAGGGTGGCGAGAGCCATCGGAAGACACGCGGTGGGATCTTTCCTTCAATCAAGAGTAAGCTGTCCCCCATTGCATCTGGGATCCTACGAAGGCCAACGGATTCATCGACACAACCACGGTCCAGGAGTGGAATTCGTTTTCGCCCCGTTCTGGTTGGAGTTGTAGGGTTGTTGGGAGGGCTATGTGCGTGGTTGTGGTCAGCGAACGCAGACACGGCCCAGGGCAGGTATACTTTTTGGAAGGGAGGGAGTGAACACGAGAGATAGGTTCAGCCTTTTTTTATTTTATTTTTATTTTTTATTTTAATCTTTTGGATACATTCTCGTTCTGGATACGTATTTTGGTTCTTACATATATCCCCTGCGTTTTATATACCCATGTTGTTTTGCTTTCTGCTTTTGTTCTCTATGATTTACCTACTTGCATCCATTCCTTCTGCTCTCTGTACATCATTGTATCATTAAACACTGTACTGTATCATTTCGTATTCTTCCCAGTCTGCACACCTCCTATTTTTACGTCGTAATTCCCTATCCACTGTACATCTTCTATATCCTCAGCATTTACTATACCCCTGCTCCCATAGATAATTCCCCCGTATCACAACCACCCCTTGCATAGTTGCCAGATATATACCTTTTCACTTTCCATATTATTATCATTGTTAAATTGGAATACTATGTTTTCTCTTGTATTTCTAACCCTTCTTTCATAATACGCCTCCCACTGCACTTTACGCTACCTTTCATTCATCTCAACAAACCATTCAGCCCCCTTGATAAGGGAGTCATGACATTAAAATATTTACAGTTGGTTGTCCATTCCAGTTGATACCCGAGTTACAGAGAGTAAAGATGCCACCAATTCATGTCCCATCACAGTAATGAATTCATACTCTTACACATAACTACATACACGATAGATATCCCGAATGCACAAAAAAGAATTGGGCATAGAAGGGGAACAAAATTTAGAGGAACACAAGACCAACTGACCAATAACAAACAAGCATGTTGGCGCAGCGAACGCGGCGCCGGGCTCATAGCCTTGAGTACCCTGAATCAAGACAAAGATATGCAAATATTTTTATTTTTATTTTTATTTTTTTTTTGATTGGGGAAGGGGGTGTGCTTCTCCGGAACAAAAATAATAAGAGGACAAACCATACCGCGCCTGCATTTCAACCCACCCAAAACTCATTCTTATCATGTCACTCATTGAAACTCTCTCTCCTTTTTTTTTTCATAAAGAATTTAACTCCTCCGCCCCCTATACCCACCCCAACCATCCCGTCACCAATCCATGCATGTGCCAAACAGAATAACAAAAACAATAAATAAAATAAAACAAGTAAAGCACACGAATCGCCCCTAACCCTGTATCTCCCTCTCTTCTAAACCCTCTTCCTCCTGCGGCCTTCTACCCAACCATCCCCCTAACCCTCTCCACCCTCTCAACAGCCCTCTCCAACCGATCCAATCTGTCTCTCTTCTCCGCATCCCTCCGTTCAAGAATGTCAACCCTCTCCTCCAACTTCGCTCTCGCCCTGCGCTCCTGCGCAACCATCTCGTTCGCCTGACAGAAGAGTTGCGCGGTGAGTTCTTCAAGCTCGGAGTTTGTCTGATTGAGGCGGGATTCAGCTTGTTTACGCAGAGTTTGTTCGCGGGATAGGGCGCTCTGGAGGGCTGTGTCTGGTTCCGGCTGTGGTTGCGGTTGTGGCTGCTGCTGCAGCTGCGGCTGCGGCTGGGGCTGGGATTGGGATTGGGATTGGTTATTATTATAATTGTCGCTGTTGGAGGAGGCGGAGGGGGAGATTGGGGGTCTGTTGGTTGGGCTTGGAGAGCGGTTTAGAGGAGGCGGGGTTGGGGCGTTGCGGCGGGCGTAGGGGAGGAGGGAGGCGAGGGTTCCTAGGCGGGATTGGGAGGGTGGGGTGGGGATTTGTTGGTGTTGAGGGGGCGAGGTGAGGAGGGTATTATTATTATTGCTGTTATTATTACTGTTGTTGTTGTTGTCTGTCTGGGAAGAGGAGACGAGGGTGGGAGTTGACGGGGATTGGTTGGTTATTTTGGAACGGAGGAAGCGGATTTCGTCTTCGTAGTCGGCGAGCTTCTCCGCTGCGGAATAAAAAGGAAAGGCATGTTAACGGGAATTTGGTAGAGAGAGACAGCTATATACCCTACGAAGGTATAAGGGCGGGATGGGAAGATATATATAATATATAATGTGGAAGATCCAATGGAGGAGGATACGGGCATATAGAAAATAACAACAACTCACCGGTCTCCACAGCCCTCTTGTTCAGGAATTTCACCTGCGCCTCTAGCTCAGAGATGCGCCGCTGGGCATGGTCGCTGTCCAAGCGCAGCTCAAAACCGCAGCTTGGACAACCTGAAGTTGCCGTTGTAGTTGTAGTAGTCGTTTTTGCAGCGATGGAAGTGATGGACATGGAGGCCGTGTCGCCAACGAGCAACGTGGTAGTGGTGCTCATGAGCCGCGGTGGCAGAGACCAACGGACGTTGGTATGTATGGTTCAAGAGGTTGGATGGAACACAGGTCAAACCAAGATAAGAAGCAGAGGAGGAGGGCAGTAATATAGAGAGTGAGCAGTCCACACTCGAAAAGCTAAGTTGTCATAACATTTCCGCGTGGGGTATAGTTATGTGGGTTCGTTGATTGAAAAGTAAATGTTTATCATAGGCTGAAGAATTGGCAAGCAAGAAAAACTGGGTTGGCTAAAGAAATCAAGTTTGGCAAAGAACAAGGCTCCGACAGTCCAACACGGCGGCTAAAGAGATGAATTCGAGTAATTGGATTCATATTCCCACATCAAGGGTTTCCGTACTTTTGGCGGTTGACACTGCCTATGTGCGGTGCCAAAGGAGTTTCACAGAATATATATATAAAACACTAACTTGTTTACTATTGCTTGTTAAATGTTCGCATGTCCGTGTGGTAGTTATCTGTCCCTCGAGATGTTGAGTGGTCCATGGCGATAAATATCAGTTATAACAACGTTAATTCACTACCCCTGCATATCCCTGTTAAAGATACAGCTAGGTAGGACAAGATTATCAATAGTATCAACTTTCCACCACGCAGCCGTGCTGGTCTTGGGTATAAATATTTATCTGGGAGAGGGGATTGTCATATATCGCCTATAAACCCAGAATATCTTCGCTGGCTTAAACTAAATACCCGATTGCACAGCACAAAAGCATCGAAATACACTTATCAGACACACTCGATCGACGATAGTTATCCGTTCTCAATCGTCACCATCTTCCTCTCCCGCCCTCTCCCGCTATCTCCAGGCCGATCTACACCAGAACAAAGTCTCCGTCGTCCCGATCACCCCAGTCATCGCTCTCACCACCATCTTCATGTTCCGGCTCAACCCTAACCCTTCCAAGCTAACTGTCGGGATTTCCGCGTTGCCTTTGGTATCGTCCTTGAAATGTTTCCTCTGTGTTTGATTGTTTGTGGGAGCCTGCAGGGAACCGCTGTCGTTGCTAAATGGGATGGCGCGGGTGGTGGAGAAGTTGCTTTTGGCTGTTGGTAAGATGGAGAAAGTTGTGGGAGAGGGAGAGGGAGAGGGAGAGCATGTTCGTAGAAGGAGTAGGCTGTGTTGATCGCTGCAGAGGTGAGTGTTGTACGGCGATATCAGTTGGAAGAGGAGGTTAGAGGAAGGTTGAGGTCTCATGGTTCACCAGCCTATATATATCCATAGAGAAAGGTCCAAATCTCTATTTCTTCATTGTGGACAGTCGTGGCTGATGGATTGTGTATATACGTATGTAGAATCCTGCTGATTGCACCTAGTTCGACAGGTAACTGGGATCTCTCAGTGAATACCGATTCTATTCCGAAGGTGGAGTGTAAAGACGATGTTGGGACTCCCTTTCGTAGTTATTAATCGCGGTTGCTTGATGCCCAAGGTGTGCAAGGGATGTGCCATTCCGATTTCTTCCTTTTCCAACCCTGCCGATACGCGTATCTCGATTTGTCGTAGTTGGGTTGCACGATATGACAGTCATTTTCGTTTTGTAGTTATGGTTGGACTTCTATGCTTTAAATGTCTGTTTAAATCGAATCGAAATGAAAACTCCAGCTATCCAAAGCATTAACAGAACATGGAATCTTCCATTCAATTGTTATTTAACGGTAAAAAAAGGTTGATTTGTAACTAACATAAGGGAAATGAGGACGAGGGATAGATAGCGGAAATGCTGGTTGACCCCAATGTCTTCCAGCTGGAGGTGTAGAAAGAAACCCGATGGGAGAAAGAAAATGGAATTCAAAAAGAAAAAAAAAAAAAAGGGGGGGGGGGGGGGGGGAAGAAACCCACATTCCCTTCTAGAAAGCGCCGGTTGGTTGCTTATTTCTAATAGAAACAGTCAGATACGAAAATAGATACTTCGAGAGAATAGGCGTTCAAATTAATGTCGCCATGCCATTAAAAGAGGCAGTTAAAGGAGGAAGAAAGATGAAGAAAATAACTAAATAGAAAAGATGATGCCATTTTGTTCTGAAAAAGAAAATTTTTTAAAAAAAATCAATCAACTAACTCCACACTCCAAATATTTCCCAAGGGCATCATCCACCACTTCCCCTTCTTCTTGTACCATCCCCGTTCCCCTTGACGACTGCTTTCATGAAGCCCATATGAAGAGTAACTCGAGACAAGTCAGCGTGGGAATATGTGAGCTTCTATATGACGCTGGATAACATAAGACGCAACGAGAGCAAACGGGGAATTTCCTTAAACAAGAGGGGTTTGTTTTGGTTTTGTTTGGGGGGGGTTGGAGGGAAACCGAAATTCAACCTATTTTTGCTCCTGTTAGGCCCGTTGATATCTTATTTCTGGTTGGCAACGACTAGTTTCGCGACTGAACCCCCTTGGAAACACACAGAATATACTCGTAACAGCAAAGAACAGGACGGGAGCGGGGAAGAGGGAGCGAGTGCGAGAGCCATTTGATACTAGGCGACAGGAGCAGGGCAAAAAAAGAAGGAAGAGAGATCAAACAAATTCAAGTCATTTAGGGGGGATGCACCTCGTTGGGAAACCATAAATGAGTATAACCGGTGGTGGAATAAACAACTTTACCAAGCCTGGAAGCCTAGAGGATAGAGATGATGAGTAGTGAATGAAAAACAAGAAGGTTGGGAATTGCTGACAGCAAAACGGAAGATATTTCTTAATCGTGAAAGAGAAGAAGACGAAAACACCATTTAGGAGGGAATGTGTGGAAAAACTAGGCTATTAGAAAAGAATCAGAGGGGTGTAAACCTCCCCCCCCCCCCCCCCCCCCCCCATCAAAGCTAACCAAAAGGGAAAATGGACAAGCAATCTTGGAAAGCCTGGCCAAGCTGGCGCATGATTTTTCTTTCGTCGAAAACGTCACATAGATAGACAGGCCATAAGATGACGAGAAAGAATGATAGAGGAAAGAGAAAAAAGGAAAAAGCAACGAAAACAGGAAGATTTACCCGGACCCTAGAACAATGATACATAGCACGCGGGATTTGGATAAGCTGAAGAGCCGAATGGATGGCATTTCGAAGTATTTGGATTGGGATGGAAGATGGCACCATTTGTGATGTGCATTGAGATTTCGTTAAATTCTCGTCACGTTGAAAACTTCTTTCACATGGAGGAAGGAAGCTGGGGACGGGGACGGGGACGGGGACTTGGGTACGGAGGGCGGGAACGGCGTTGGGCCTCATATTATCAAAGCGAGAAAACAAGGACAGCTCTTCAGCCGCGAGCTTGGTTTCCACGTCGGTTGTTGCGCTGTTTGCTGCTCACGGTGCTCCAGCCCTCCTCCTCAGGTTCAGCGGGGGTAGCAGGAGTAGGAGCTGGCGCGTGTTCCTGCGCAGGGGCACCTCTATTTTGCTGAGCCTTGGCATGGCCCTGGACAAAACCTCTGGGTGGCGCATGACCATGGCCCCCGCCGCGAGTTCGGGCGGGACCATTTCGCCAGTTTCCGTTGGCTTTGCTTGGGGGTGCTGATTGTTGCTGTTGCTGTTGCTGTTGCTGTTGCTGCGGTTGTTGCTGGCGAGCCGCCGGCTCTTTGGGAATTCCAGGCTTCTCGTTAGCGGCTGGTGCCGCTGACGCTTGCTCGACTACTGTGGCTTCTTCAGTATGTCCCGTCCTGCGAAGGATCTCGATATTCTTCCCAGCCTGTGGAGCGTCTGAGCCATCCTCCTTAGCACCATTTGCAGTGGTGACGGCACTTCCACCCTTGACGGAAGCTTCTTCCTTTGTCAGCTGCTCCTGCTCCTTTGCTGCCTTTTGTTTCTCAGCTTTCTCAGCCTTTGCTTTTTCCTCTGCTTCTTTCTTTTGTCGCAGGGCTAGCTGGCGTCTTTCCTCAACTTCACGCTCTCTGGCGGACGTATCAATGGGACGAGCACCACCGAAGGGGCTCGCCTTGGAGTCGCCAGTTGTGGCTGTGGGGGAAGCGGGTTCAGCCTCAACTGTTCGTTTTTGTAGATTAAGTTTGGGTCGTTGGGCTGGTGCAGGAGGTGCAGCTGGGACAGCTTCAGGGGCTGGGGCGGCGGATTTGGGAGCTGGGGGGTCTGGTCGCATCCTTGCTCTCCATTGGTTGTCTAGTTCAGGAGCGGTTGGTGTTCTCTCTGGGGCTGGTCGCTCATGGAACTCACGCCTGGGAGGCCTTGAGCCTTCTTGCGAGCGCGCCTCTCCCCAAGCAGGTGAGGCTTTGCGGAACCCAGGGCCGTCTTTGCTTCTTGGGCGGCCTCCTTCGCTAGCTAAAGATGTAGGGGCAGGGGAAGGAGAGAGGGGTCCCTTGCGTTCCCAATTCCCATAGTCTCTAACTTTACCGTCAGCGGGCTCAAAGGCACGTCGTCCGGTACGGTCTCCGACATCACTCAGAGCATCTTGTCCTCTTGCTCCAAAGCCCGGGCGGTCGGACACTCGTCGCTGTGAAGGAACATCTGGAAGTGGGCCTTTGCGGGACCAGTCGCTGAAATCCCTCGTTTCTTGTCTCTCTTTGGCTGCAGTGATGTTAGTTGTGTTTTAAGGCTGCATCGCAAGTTGTTTTTGGGGGAGAGGGGGTGTTATTCCAATAGACATACGAGGTTCTGCGACGCTAACTCTGATATTTCTTCCCTGAAGAGAAGTTCCTTGGAATGTGAGGGCCTTCTTCAAGCCTTCAAGCGTAGCAAATTCCACGTAACCGAAGCCCTTTGGCGCCCTGGTCATTTTGTCCTCAACGATCCGAACGTTTGTCACCTGACATTCCTTGAAAAGCTCCGAAATATCGGCTTGGGCAGCCTCGAAAGACAAATTGCCAATGTGGGCAGTGTAAGGAGGCTGAGTTGGAAGTGGAAGCTCCTCTCTGATGGCGTACCCGCGGTGGTCACGCTCTTTTATGAGTGTTAGCTGCAGTGTTCGCAAAAAGGAACAAATATAGAAGGTTGGCTCCATACCTATACCGCCCGTGTCGTTGCCATATCCGCTGAACGTACGTCGTTCTCCACCATAGCTAGCACGGGGTTCGGGAACTATTGATATTTCAGATTCATTGCTCAAGATATATGATTGTTCTCTACCGGTGTGTGTAAGAGAGAGAAGGGGGGTTAACGGGGATATATAGAGTTTTTCTACTCTTACCGGCTAATGGGGAAGACGAGTCAGTAAAAACCAGCCAAGCAAATAATTCAATCAGGAGTCGCGACGTACCAGGCAAAGGGAATTCATCCATTTCATCGGCCCACGAGCCAAAATCTACCCCGTATTAGTTTGTGGTAAGCCAGAGACATGCCAGGGTGTAGGGCACATACTCTCGTCGGCCAAGAAGGTCCCGACGGACATCTTTTGCGCTTTCGGTTTTGCAGGAGCTGGGAGCGAAACAGTTAGCTACAAGTAAAGCAGCCATGATATCTACTACATGAAGCTCGATAGCGATGGAATGACAGGCCAGCGTGGAAATACTCACCCATGATGGCAACTTGGATGACGAAACGCGCAAAGGCGTGTGCGCGTCTCTTTTGGGAGCGAAGGGGGATGGAAGATCCGAAGGTCTTTCAGCGATGATGAAAATAGTCAGATGGGGAATCACTGAGGCAGTGATTGGGAATGGAAAGGCTGATGTTGAGTGGTCAAAAGGGTGGCCTTGAAGGTTGAAGACACGGAGGGGAAAATTGGGTTGGATCTTTCGAAAGGATAATTTTTAGTGATGACGCTAAGGAAAAGTCAGCCTTAGTGCGTCAAGCGGCAGAGAACCGAAAAAGTAAATAAAGAGATAGAAAAAAAAAAATCTTGAACCACCAAACCATGGACCCAACCATTGTTGAAATAATAGTAGCATTCACCATTAAGGGGCTCTGCAAGCCTTCAATCATCTCGCATACTTATCGCGGTTGCTGGTAGAAGTGATTTATTTTGATGTCTTGAAAATGAAAATGTTTTAGAGATACCCTAACCACCAGAAAGTCGCCCGCTTAACTGGTTACTACTACTGCCACAAACTCACTGCTAATTATTCTCCGTATCAACAGAACAACCACAAACATGGACGCAACAATGGCTCAGCTATACATAGGTTAACATTTTCTCTACCAGGCTTCCATTGAAACTCCTTTTTGAACCCAACTATGTAGGCTGGCAACTCCAACAGAGCCCAAAACCATCCCTTTGTGGTAATACAACTTTGCGCCCAGAGTTAGAAAGTCATCCATCTCCCTCCGCTGGTACCTGGAACTGCCAGTGCACCGGGGAAACAGAGATCAACGTTAAACGCCCAACACAAAGTCAAGAAGCTAGCCCTGACTGGGAGATAAGTTCAATATTCACCCATTAACTCCATGTTGACGGAATTGAGGGGCAAATGGAGATGAATGGAGATTGGCGGATCATGTATAAAATAAGGTGATATATATTTGATACCCTGAGATTTGCTGGAAAAGTTGCGTTCAACCTGATTGATCTTTGTGTTGCCTTCCTGCTAACATAATTCCCAATTGAGCAGGACGGAGTGGGACTCAAAATTTGGTTTACTTTAATATATTAGTATTTCATTTCAGTTGTAATCATCAACAACAACAGCGACTAAAAGGAGTATATTTAAACTAAACTATACAAGAATTAGAACGTGTTTTTTGATATGTTCAATAGTATCATAGTTATTGCACTTTTATAAAGCATAAAATTATAATTATAAAAAAAGAATTAGATCTACTTAATTAATTATATATTTAATAAATAAATTAAGAAAATTAATAAAAATATAAGCTTTACTTGTAAGATTTTTTATATTAAAGTAATTATTTAAATTTTATATATTTTATTTTTTATTTAAAGTAAATATATTTTAATAATATTTTTTTATAAATTTAAATTATATTTACTACTTATTAAACCTTTAAATAATTTATTTAAAATAATAAATATACTTAAATTTATAAATATTAAAATTTTAATAAAAATACAAAGAATAAATTTTTTATATAGAAATTTTTTTGATTAAATCTAATATTTATGAAATTTATTTCTTTTTAACTTTATTTAATAGTATAAATTTATATAAATTCCTATACAATTTATTATAGAATAAAAGTAAAAAGTTGATAATTACTCTCTGTTATAATGATACTTATAATTTTTAGTAGCTAAATAATTATGATGACTGTTAGATAATAACACTTAGTGTGAGAAGTTCAAAGCTATGAGTTCAAATTCTATAGAAATATTATCTCATATTTGATGAGATAACATCTAAAAATCAAATATGTCATCTGGTTCACATTAGATGACATCTGATTGATATTTTTTTTAGTACTATGTCAGTTTAACTGTTAATAAACCTTCTCCACATACAAATTGCCACTATTTCTAAGTTGAAAATGATATAATGTAAGTTCTACAACTAGTTTCTCTTTAGTAACTATCTTTTCATAAGATTTTAGATATAGTTATTTATCATATAAGTATGCTTTCAACACTAACTAGTTAGTTAAGTTTTATTATATAATTAATTTATAAAATAGTTACTGATTGCATAAAAGTATAAGAAAGAAGAAGAAGAGGAGAAAAATGAATAATTTTAATACTTATTTAATATTATAAAGCAAAAATTATTTTATTAAATTTATAAAAATTTTTAATTAAATTTATATTCAATAATTATATTTTTTAAAGTTTTAAATTAATTTCAAATTACTTTAATAATTTTATATTTTACTTATTTATGATTATAATATCTAAAATATAATATTGAAATTTAAATTAATACTTAATTATATTCATAGTAAGTATTAACTAAGATAATAGTTTTTATTTAGTTATATTAAAAATTTATTAAACTTGTAGATTATCTTTAGACTAAGTTAATTTAATTTAAATATATATATATAAGTTAACTCATACTGATCAGCTATTAAGTCTATAACTTAGAGTAAAATATAAAATATCAAAAAAAATTTAAAAATAAAAGAGAATTTTTTTTTTTTAAAAACATTTTATTATGAGCTTTAGTCTTTTTTTATCTCTATAGACTTTTTAGAATTTTTTAATTTAAATTGATGGTATAATTCCACGTGGCATATATAAGTGAGGAAATTGAAAAATATTTAGATTTAATAGCTTGCTCAGAGGTTTGGATTGTCTACATTTAACTGTGAAAAATGATCTCTCATTTAATATGCAAAAGTGAAGTAACTAAAAAACATCATGCAGCTTTTGCATCTATGCAGCTTTGTGAATAAAGATATTATCTTTATTTTGTCAGGCCTATCCGCCTTCTTACGTAATCCGCACTGTATATAACTTCCGCGTAGCTAGCGATCGCTTCATAATCAATCAAGCAATCTATCCTTCACATATTTTTCAAGAAAGAAACTGCGAGCTCAATTCTGTTCTTATTTCTATAGAGTTTCTTTATTTTTATTATGAATTCACTACGCAAACAGAGTTGATGTCCCACTCGGTTGAGAATTCCGTTATGATTATGTGGATCGCATCTGAGTTATTATAGATGACTGAAAGCATGGACAAGGGCGCAAAATCTTGTATTCTTCAATAGACTTAGGGCCATCTGATCTGGCAAGGCAAAGATGCCTTATCGCCACTGTTACTAAATTAGATATGAGCGGGGTGATATCTATTTATTAAGGGCAAGGTATCTTGCGGGGTAACAGTTTATCCAGTCAGATCCTAAATCCCCATTGTATTTGAAATTTTTGATAATCAAGCTGAAATGCTCATGAAATGAATTGCAGTGGAAACAAAAAAAACTTACAACCCTAATGATCTCAACATTAACTAACTAGTTAACTGTACTCCGTAGTTAACTATTAATCCTGTATGCTGTCAACAGGCAACAACTCTATGGCCCCTAAGCGGGATAACCCGATTGGGGTGTTCAGAGTCACGTGGACCTTCATTTGCCTTCCCAAAAACCCAATTAACTTCTATCCAATCCCTACTCACATCAATTGTCTTATATTGTCTCATCTCTTCTACCCAGATATCTCACTGTATCACCAGGTCAAAAGGGAGGGCCAAACAATCTTGTCCCTTCATGTATTAAGGCCTTCATCCATGCCCTGCCGGATACACGCCTCATACAGCTGGCTGACATCGGGCGCAAAAGTTGAGGATGCGTGGGAAAGGCGCTGGGGATCATGAAAATGATCGTGACCAGGTGCAGAGCCCGTGGACGGCGATGCCTGCGTTGAAGGTTGGGACTTTGAGTGGTTGGTACTCTCTTTCACTTTTTTTTATTTTTATTTTTTATTTTTATATTTATTTTTTATTTTTCCCTTCTTTCTTTGAGATGTAGTTTTTCTCTTGTGTCCCTGCCGGGTTGATAAGATGATCGAATTGTGATAGGATGTATTCTTTGGTTTTTATTCTTAGAACAAGTACGGGGTAGCTGGAATTTGCATGAGGATCTTATTTTATGCATGTGATCTGTTCACATGAATCCTTTGTTTACTATTAAATTTTCACGTGCATATATTTTCAACTTCAATTCTAATATTTTCAATATACAGGTGCATTCGGACTCATCTTTGGAGGGATTACGGGCGTCTTACGCTCACCGAATCCAACGATCCATTCGATTGCAGCTGGCATCCATTGGTTTGCCTTTGGAACCTCGACATGGTGTAAGAACGGCATTAGTTCTGTCCTGGCTTCATCTTCCTTTTACTGAATTCAATTCAAACCGATAGGGCTGAGGAGTAACATCCTCCGGGTGCAATTTGACGACAAACCCACTCCCGGCCAACGGGCGTTTGCAAGCTCGATTGCCAGTGGGTTATCCGGGGGAGCAATTTCGTTTTCTATCCGTAAGTGTGAATAAAATGACAAGGAGAGGATCATCGATTTCCTCTAACGTTATATATCTGTACATCATGTAGATCGCAGGTTTGTTCCTGGAGCGGTGATTTTTGGATTGGCTGGCTTTCTGGGACAGAAGTCATACGATGTCATTAATGGATGTTGGGTATCTCAACATGAAGCTGAAACGGGCCCCCAGAAAACCCTGGCTCGGCGCCTGCTAGAGTCCAAATGGATGCTCTTGAAGCCGCTGTCTGACGGAGAGTATATTGTGATGCTCAATGAGAAGCTTCTGGCTATTGATGCTGAGATTGCGATTATTGATGGTAAGATAGAGGCACTTAGGAAGTTGGAGTCTTCGTGAGATGGATGGACGAGGATATGTATGTATGCGTGTCATGACTCAAGTTGGGGAGAGGTGTAGGATATTTTAGACCTGCTTGGGTGGTTTCTAGTTTTCAGATAAAATTGCTTGCTTGACTTGTTGCAGCGTAAAAAAGAAAAAAAGGAACTAGAGAAATAGCAACGTAAATGATCACCTACCAGAACAGATCATAATATATTTAAAAAAATATTAAAATTAAGCAACAATTATATGGAATTACACATAGAAAATTATATACATTATTTTTCAACCCTATGGGCATGCGGGGGCTCTATCTTACCACATTTACTACAGCGTGCTGGTGCTCACGTGGTGGATTGATTTGAATCCTTCACTATCCTTCTTCACAGCTTGTTGAGCAGCTTGAGCCCTCAGGTAATCCTTCCTCTGCTGCTAGAATACCCTCCTAAGCTATATTGGATAAGTCCTCATTCTCACTTGTGTTTTGCTTTTCATTTGCAGTCTGTAGGGCTTTGTATTCCTCTGTCAGAATAGCAGCAGGCTTAGGGAATAATCGTGCCCCGCGCACCCACACCTGATGTGGGTGCGCCTCAGCGTAATGATAAAAACAGTGTAATGATAAAAATATGGATAATTAGAACTTCAAAAATTAATATCTCATCACCACACTGCTAATCTATGATAATTAATTTATCTATATCATCTGTAGTAGCTGTATTATTTGTGAGATATTTATATATATCATTAACCTCTTGTTAAATTGAATTCATAGTATTTTTCTTCAAAGCTCTTTTAACATATTTAACTCTCTTATAACATTCTTTTTCTACTTTCTTCTCTTTACATTGTGCAATCTTTCTATTCACATCTCTGACAGTAAGAATACCTTCTACTTGAATCTGTTGATGTGTATTTTTAATGCTGCAGTGTTTGATTGCAAGATAATAACTCTCAATCTCCACTTTTTTTTTATAGCATTGAGTTCTGTCTGAACAAGACTACCTTGGAAAATCTTGTTCAATTGATTGCTCAGATGAGATGATTTGAAATCAAGTGTATTTTTCATATTTTGCATTATCTTCTTTGCCACTCAAATATGATGTTGTAGCTTCTTGATTGTTTTAAGTAAGAATAGCTATGATGAAGCAGTATCTGAAAAGCTTGATTGCAGTGAAAAGAAGTCTTCTTTATATATTTACAACTCAGAGTAGTCAGAGATCTTTGAATCTAGCTTAAGCAGTATAGATTGTGGGTTAAATAAGGCAATGTCATGATTTGTAAAGTCAGTCTGAATAGTAGAAGTTGAAAAGTCTTTTTGCAAACATCAACTAGATTTTATAGAAATTAACATTTTTCATACTACTGATATCTATATCACACAGCTTGATTAACTATTTTTAAATGATAGTGCTTATACTGCTGAAAAGGCATGCCATCTAGAGATTATAGTATATGAGTTGAATGTAAAGAAAATTTATATAGAATAATCTTATAAAGATTGCAGTATTATAGATATTCTTCAGTAAGATGAGATTCATGATTATCAAGAAGCAGCAATTGATGACTGCTTTGCTGATGTTTTTTAAAGATCTCATTAAAGTGCTGAATTTATATAAAGTCAATCTCATTATTGATATAGTCAGTATCTGATGTTGTGATTGTATATTCATCTGATAGATTGCTTTGTGTATATCAATCTTCAAGTTAAGTTTTGAATTTCATGATAATGAAGGAATTCAATACCTCATCATCTACTAAAACACACTCAATCACAGTGATCAATTTTCAAGAATATGATGAAGTTATAACTGAATTAAAGTCTTTAAAAGCAGTAATAACCCATTCTCCATGTCCTTGACCCTCTTGAAAGCCAATCTCATTGAAGTTGTAGATATTGCAGATTTGAAATATGTACTTTTAAAGTAAGATTTTCAAACAGTCAAATCACATCTTGATGTAGCTAATATTCTCAACAGCAATTCTTTTCAGATTCATTGTCTTCTGCTTAACTCTTTTATACTTATCCAAGCTTTGTATATATTGATAGATCCACATCTTGCTGACCACAAATGAGGAGGTTGAAGGATTAGTATGATGGCATTTGAGAATGAGATTTGCATTATCTTGAATCTGCTCTGCAGTCAGTGAGCAATTATTTCTATCCATATGAGCTATTCACTCTTTTAACATGTTCTTCTGACTCTTGCTAAGCTTCTTGTTCAGTGCAGTCTTTGCATTGCATGTTTTTCTTCCATTGATTCTTGCTTGAAGATGTTGATAAGAAATGTTGAATTTGCATGCCAGAAATAGGATTTTCTGTTTTTGATTGCCATTATAGACTTCAATGACACTCTGAATACATTTTTCAAGATCATCTATCTTATTGGTCATGGTGGTGGTGATATATTAATATTTGAAGATTGATTAATGAAGAAGTTGATATTTTTATTGTTACACTGTTTTTATCATTACACTGTGGTGCACCCACACGAGGTGTGGGTGCGCGGAGGCACGATTAATCCTCATTTGATCATGCTCAGTTCTCATTGAACAAGTATTTCCTCTTCAGTTTCGGTCAAACAGTGTGAATTTGTCTGTAACATTGTATGTGACGAGCAGCCTTTCAATCAATCAGCAAGAGTAGAGTGTGGGATATCATATAGTCTTGCTGCTTCATGAATAGAGGTAATTTCCTTGTTTTTCAAGGTGGATATCGCGAGTTCAATCCTTCCCTCTATTTCTATAGAGTTTCTTTTGTTTTTATTGCGAATTGGTGGCTTTTTAACGCGTTAAAAAGGTAGGTTGATAAATTAGATACAAGTTCCAATTTGGTGTCCGACTCGGTTGGGAAATATGTCAATAATTTCCAAGATAACTGTTAGCTTAGTTATTTTATATTTTCCTCCTTTTTGTGGAGCAGCCAACGTCGTATTAGTTGGCTGTTTCAGACAGGACTTTTGCCGATGTCCAAGATTAAATCGTACTCCAAAACATTCGGCCGTTTTTCTTGGGAAGCCATATGGTTGTTGCATTGACAGTGGCGATTACCTGGGAGCCCCCCCTAAACCCTTCGGTCTGTCAAACTTGAAGAGACCTTCCATTCCAAAGGGAATGAATGCCAATATTTTCCCAAGGGAAGCAAGCCAACCATGGTTTCTGGTGTGGAATGCTCACGGTTGGCTGCCGCACCAAGACCCAGCAGCTGGACTAGTTAACTAAACGTGCCATTAGGTGTCTTAGGTAATCCACCCGGCCCAATGAGCCGCAACTCCTCCTGCCGACTCGTGGGATAATACTCCAGTAGCAAACTAAACTAACAGCTTCTTCTCCACTCCACTCCACTTAAATATATCTAGTTCTCTTTTTAATCGGACTCTATCGCCAAGGGGACTCTCTCGAGCTCCTCTTCGTCCTCCCTTTTCACCCCCCTTCTTCCGCAAGGACTTCGATCATGATACTCCTGCTTATCTCTGAGCTTCCTGCCAACTATCGAGCTTGTGGTAAACTTCACCTTTTCTTTGTTGCCGTCGTGGTCATTTTCGGCCATACCACTTTTACACTGTTCCTTGACTTATTCATGTTGGCAAGTCTTGGAATGTGGACTGGTCGAGCTTAACTATATCCACGGTAAAACTTCAACTGTTCTGACGGTTTTCTTACTTCTTTTCTTCTACCCCTTTAGGCTCGAGCCTCCTGATCTAGTTATACTCGTCGATGCCATGTCCCATAGCTTCTGTCAAACGGACTCAAGCCTGTCGCAAGTGCCGTACCGCTTGTGATCCATTATGGCAGTCTGGAGCCCAACTACGGTCTTCGTAGCTCTCTTCCTCATCTACCTCACCTCCTTCATCTTCCTCGCCATCATTCGCATCGCGACCGGCATTTCGATACAACGAATCGGCTACTTCTCCCTCCGCCGCATTGGATACTCTCCAAAGGAAGGAGTTAAGATCAGTATCCGTCAGCTGGGCCTATCGATCCATCGACCGTCGTTTGCGCAACCTACTTACATAAGCGTGAAGTTGCGGGAACTGGCAGTAACCATTGACCTGCCGGCTCTGAACAGCCACCAACGTGATGCAAAGAAAAGGACACTGGCAGAGGAATCTGATGATGTTTCGGAAAAGGATGATGTGTTGGGTGCCGGTTTTCAACCGGGACCCTACCACAAGACACGGAGTAAGGCCTGGAAAATGCTGACGATGTCCAAGGAATGGATTAAAATCCTTCATAGACAGATACAATGGCTGGCGATAGTGGATGTTGTGGCTACAGATACGATCCTTAAGGTTGTGGATGCTGGGGAGATTCAGATCGGAGGACTCACAATGGCTGTTGACACCAGGAAGAAAATGATGGCGAGGGGCAGGCTGTTCCGGCACAAGAAGGATCCGCATGGGGACCGACGACCGGCGGAATGGATTTTCAATGTTCGGAATATTATGCTTGCTGTCGATGACTGCGAAGCAGTGGAAATATTAGACAACCTTGGCCTGACCATCCATGGCATTCTCCACAAGGATCTGGAAGGACTGAGGGACGTTTCGATTGCCGTAAAGGCTGGGAGACTTCATGTTCCGTACGATGACTTGGTAAAACTGGGTACGCGTATGAAGGAATCTCTGCCGATTCAAAAGAATGCAGCTGGCGAACTAACAGGCGATGGGATATCTTCTGAGGACACTGTGCAGGAACTGTCTCAGCCGGGTAGTCGTCAAGAAGCAATTTTCCAGACCGTTACCGATTCTAGGGAGTTTCTTAGTTCGTTGTTGCGTGGAATACAGGAAATACAGGTAGCACTGAGTTTCTTCCGTCTATCCCAGGTTGTGCAGACAGTACAGCCTCAAAGACCGCTATATCTCAACGTTGTCACTCACGAAGTTGGGATTGATTTGCATCGGATGGATCCCAATCGTCCTGCACATCGCATGTACTTTCAACGAGATGACATCGCCCATCAGGCTCTTTTAGCCGCGATATCATTGTCCGTTTCCCTCGATGATAATATTGGACAGACCGATAAAATCCTGTACGTCCCCATGGCTACGACTACCATTAAGACCACTTTTCCTTCCAAAACCGTATCCTACTCAGAGCACAGAGGGGTTGCTGAACGCAATACCAATGTCTTATTTGCCAATCTTGTTGTGACATCCCCATCAATCGATCTTGAGCCAAAACATTTGTCCCAAATACGAGATATCCTGCAGAGGACAAAACCACGTTCCCGAAGCAAAGTCCGAAACAATCACGTTCTCATCTCTCATATTCTACCAAAAGCGAGTATTAAGTTATCAATACATGAACCAGTCCTTCGCTTTGTTCTTCCTTCCCCCGAAACAGGCAAGGATAACAATTACAATCTACTTATTTCTTCCATATCGTCGATTTCACTGGATATCGAATCTTCACATTCTGCTGAAGACGGAATCCACTATTCTCTATCTTCCATTTACCGGGTAGCTTCACACCAACTTTACTATCAGACTTTCTCTGGAAACAAGCATCGACTGTTAGCCACACAGACGATGGAAGTAAATATCCATCTCAATGCAACCCCCGAAGTTTGCGTCGTTGCTTCGGGGACTTTGAACACCTTCTCCATACATCTGGTTAGTGGGGAAGTTAGCCGTGGTGTGAACCAGGTGGTCGATCAGTTCCATTCTCACTTTCAACCAAAAAAGCTATCTTCTCTCGAGGCCAACCATCCAAGCTTCTTCAGGCGTTTACCTCCATGGCTTCTCCAATTTCAGTTCGAGGCCTCCGGCTTCAGCGTTGAGGTTGCCGGAATCGACAATACCATCGGGACGACTACTCGTGGTATGGTTTTACAGCTTCAAGGATGGACGGCCGATTATGAATCGCAAAAAGCAGAACCGAATCGAAGATCTGTCAAACGTCGAACACCAAGTCATTCCGCCAGTTCAGACGACCATTCCTTCCGATTTGCCTCATCATCCCCTTCTCGAAAGTCTCAGCATGGCCCGGCCGATGGACGACGTCTGGTATTCCATGTTCGCGGTCTGGAAGGATTTGTGATAGAGTCAGCCGACTTCATGGAGCCGGAATCGTTTGTATCTGTACCTCGCTTCGAAGTGGCATTAAGTACGTCAAGTGACCTACAGGGCCCGATATTTCATATCAATTCTACAGTCAAGTCGATATACCTCGACTGTTCCCTCTACCAGAGCTATGCTGTTGGCATCGCTGTTTCAGTATTACGGGATGCCCTTTTGCGACCAACGACTAAACCTACAACCACTACTTCGCCGACGAAGATTGTTCCCGTCAAATTCCCCATTAATCCTTCATCCGCTGAGATTATTACAGTTGATGTTAAAGCATCGTTGATTCAGGTAAAATGTTTGATGCCGGCAGACCCCTCAATGATGCTTCAAATATACGGATTTGCTGCCGGTCGTCACCGATGGTCTGCCCCCTTTATGCGATCACAACTTATTCGGCTTCACGCTGAAGCTCCAAAGTTAAAAGGCGCGTGGGCTCGAGTCGTGAGTGTAAATAATATTCGTGTGGGATTACGGGAATCGCAACGCAGACCAGACGGGACAGTTATTGAAGAAAAGTCTATTGATATTTCTACCGAGTTCATACGACTTGCTGTACCCCATCAGATGATAATGTACCGAATATTCGATAACTTCATCAATACCGCAAAATCTGTGCAGCAGCTAAATCACCGCTTCAAGACGAGGACGAATGAGTACGTCCTGGAGAAACATCCTGAGGGTCCCAAGCATGTTCCCCGCATATCGCTTCGCAGCAAAGCTTTGCTCTTTGAACTGGAAGATGACGCTTTCGAATGGAAGATAGGAAGCATCTATCGTCTTGGCCTATTGGAACAGAAGCAACGTCTGGCTCGGGAAGAGGCATTCCGCATGAAGTCCAGGAGATTAGAGGAACTTCAGCAACGGCAGGCATCGTCTCGATACCGGACGCAGTCGATCAACGGTATCCCAACTCGTTCAACGGCACGCTCGAGGAAGAGCAATGAGGATGTGAGAAGAAGTAAAAGTGCTGATGGGCGGAGACCGCACACCAGATCACAACCGAGAGGCAGGAGGCCAAACCGTGCCGTACGATATAATCCGGAAGGTGTACCAGCAATTTCTGACTCATTCAAGGTATCCTCCAACGAAGCGTGGTTTAAACTACAAGAACACAATGCCCGGAGTTGGAAAATGAGTATTGACAATAACATGCGTTTTCAAAACACCGCAATCAAAGAAATTCGACTTATGTTTTCTGGCGCAGACGAACCACCGGAAGACATGCAAGACGATGAAAACATCCTTTCAGTTCCCGATAGACCTGGTCTCCTTTCAGCCCTGATTAGTGATGTGCATCTTGTTATCGATAAACCTTCATTCCCTATTGACGAATACCCCATTTTCCTCCATAGAATAGGAAAAGGCATGCCCCTAGACATGAAATATTCTCTGCTGATACCCATGAATGTTCAGTTGGATATGGGCGAAGCCCGAGGAAACCTACGCGACTACCCTCTAGATCTAATACACATCCCCGCCCTACGCGCTGGTCAATCCTCTCGCCTCCCAAGTTGGTCTCTGCGCACTGATTTTGTAATCGCCGAAGAGTTCCGTGACTATGAGTCCTCACGCCATGTGATAGTTAACGTTGTGCCACCAAATGAAGTTGCAGATGGTGTCACCAATCCTGGATTTTCGATCGATGTTAGACGAACGGTGTCGCCAGTCAAAACGTATTCCGATGCCATTATTGAAATAAATACAAATCTGCCCACTAGTATATCGTGGGGAATGTCCTATCAGCCGGTCATACAGGATATGATGAAAATCATAGAGGGCTTTTCAAAGCCGGAGATTGATCCTTCGGAGCGTGTTGGGTTCTGGGATAAGATTCGGTTAAGTTTCCATTCTAGAATAAATGTGGTTTGGAAAGGGGATGGGGATGTCCATTTGCGGTTGAAAGGTATGTCTTGACTTCATGAGGTTTGTGTTTTTTTACAATCCAGGGATTTTACTGAAACGATTTCATAGGTTCTCGCGACCCATACGTAGTCACTGGATTTGGAGCAGGTTTCGTAATGTGCTGGAGCAAAGATGTGCAATGGGAAATACACACGAGAGATGACCCGAGAGAGTTCATGGCAGTTACAAGCGGTGAATACGTTCTTGCCATTCCAGATTATAGCCATCAGGCCCGAAACTCGTACGAAGTGACGTTAGATTATGGGTCTACTTCGTCCAGGTGTATCTCGAAGGATTGTGCGTTGTTCAAAAAAGTGATAATGAAACTCTCGGGAAATGTCCGGTGGCTTTCCGGCCTGGTTTTCGAACGAAACGTCGATGGTTCGGAACGGTCGTTTGTGTTTAAGCCGCATTATGATGTGGTTTTGAAGAATCCACGGTACATAAGTCCTGACGAACTAAAAGTATGTTTCCCTTTTTCTCCTTTGACTTATTTTATTAAGCAGCAATCCACGTTAGACGTTTTCAGGGTTTGCTGATATGCGACAGGATTATGACGCTTTCCGTGGATTCCGAAGTAACCATATTCATTTGTCGCTCGCTATTGTCGCACCAGTAAGTCGGGTTTGGTCCGTATCGAATCGTGAACCATCAACTAGCTACAATACTGTCCATTTGACTCCAAGGTTCTTCACACATTTTTTCAGCTGGTGGTCACTGTTTTCAGGGGTCATGTCATTGCCAGTTCGTCAAGGTTCTCTCTGGCCTGAGTTGACCAAGATAAGCAAAAAATTTGGCCGCCATCTGGCAACTGTCAAGTATAATCTATTTCTCTCGCCATTGTTTGTGGCGCATATTTACAAACACAAGGATGCCCATGATTACGGTGAAGACATGGCGTCCGCAACCGGAATAAAGGTTCGCCTTGACAGCTTTATGTTGGACCTCCATCAACGGAGGGAACAGGTCAATGTGATGGTGAAAGGTCGTTCGAAACAGACAAAGGCAAGCGAAATGCGAATCAATAGAGCCCAGCTGGATTTTATATCCGCTGATTTCAGGGCAGTATCCGTTTCCATTGCGGGAACAAACCCGGAAGAGGGAAACGTGGCCAGCGACATCTTGTCCGCTTATCAACAACCAGTCCCTCCCGCCGATCTATCCCGGTTCACAATCCCTGATAAAGACCTCAACTGGGTTGACATGGATGATTTTGTGGAGGTTGACTGGATGCTTCCCTCAGAATCAAATCCTCGCACTCGAATTCTCCCTCTTGCATACTCTCCCCGATTTTCTTATTTCCGACAAACGGACCATGAGGAACGGAGTGTTGATGAGACCGGATACAGTCCGTTTGGAGACGAGCCGTCACATTACTGTGTGATGTCGCAAGATAATGATCCACGAAGAGTCCAGATGGAGTTGATCAAAGAACGACTTGATATGATTGACGCACAAATAGCTGCTCATAATCGGATGATTGGAGAGCAGGAACTGCGAATTGTTCGAGATAGCCAAGCTGCAGATGGTATGAAGAGCCAGTTTGAACTCTTTGTCAGACAGGGTGAATCGTTACAGAGACGGAGAAAGTTCTTGGTTTCTGGGCTTCGCCGCCTTGAAAAACATCTCGCCGGCGATGCAGAGCCGAATGGCCTAGGAAGTGAAAGTATCCACAGCAGGCCAGCTTCGGAATCAGAACCATTTGCCTCGTCCGAAAATGGAAGTAATGATGCTGATATAGATGGCCTCTATGCTTCACCGGACGATGAGTTCATCAGCGATTTTGATAATCGCTTCATCATCCATAACATCCAATTGAAATGGAACAACTCACTCCGGAACATCATTCTTCGATATATTCATCAGGTAAACCAGAGACGAGGATTTGTTTACTACATGTCTCGACGTGCGGTGAAGTTTATTCTCGATATTGTGGAGGAGCAAGGGAAATCAAAACTGCGGCCTAGAGAGGCGGGTAAACAGCCGCCCACTCCGACTCCGTCGCAAGAACACGAGGGACATGATGGCGACGATGACATTTCCATCGAAGATCGTATCGAGCAACTTCTTGGCAATGCTAATCAATTTTTTAAGGCTGACGACTCGACGCCTAAAGCAGCTAGACGGCGATCTTCGGTAGTGGACGGTGCTGAAAAAATTGCTCCAGACTTCACACCACAAAATAGTTACCATCTCCGCCTTATCGCGCCGCAGATTCAGCTTCAAAGTGAGAAGAACAAGAAAGCTGTCGCTCTCATCACTGCCAAAGGCATGCAGTTGAAAGTTGTCTCAATAATGGATAAACATCGTGTATCTGATGATGTTTCCGGCTTGGTACAACGTCGATTCACTCTGGATATGGACAGCGCTCAATTCTTTGTTACTACCCAGGAGAGTCTGTTCAAACATCTTCATTTATATTCTGGTAATAGGTACGGAAATGCGCCAGGGTCTGCGTGGCCTCCATGGGTGTCCCTGGAAGGTATGGTTGATTTCGACCTGGAGCCATCTGGCTTTTCAAGAATTATCCAGAAAACGTCCGCAAGCCTCAGATATGACAAGTACAATACTCTGCGATTGAAGTACAATGAAAAGATTGCAAGTGGTGATGATGACAGCAAGGTGCACCTTCCAACAAGCAACGAGAACCGGATGGATCAAATCATGGTCGAGTTTTCCCATGTACGCGCAATCTGCGATTCGGATCAGTACTATTCCATGTACATCATCGTGCTCGACCTATTGCTCTGGAATGAGCCACTTGAAAAAGTGCGGAGCGAGAAGCTGGAGAAGATCATGCTTGCATCAGATTTCAGTGACCTAAGAGGTGCTCCTCAACTGGTGAGCCGGCTGCAGCAACGGATACGACAACTTGAGGAAATTAAAAACGTTTTCCAAATCCAAGCCAAGTATCTTGACGTTCACGGTTGGCAAGATCGTGTCGCCCTGGAGAGAGATTTGACACATTGTGAGGATGAATTGTTCTTTATCATGAAAGCTATCACGACATCACAGCGCAAGAATGAAGAACGAGCAACGTCGCAATCTAGTGGAGTATTGAGGTGGGCCTTGTCTGCTTCCGAGATCGTATGGCATCTCATGACGAGTCCCAAGGACCCTCTTGTGGAATTTCAACTGCGGAACGCAACGTACGCGCGAACCGACAACATCGACGGGTCGAACCGTAATACAATTGAGATTCAGCGAATAAACGGTCTCAATCTTCTCCCCAGTGCTCTCTATCCGCAAATGATTGTACCGTACGTCAATGAGCACCGAAGACCGCCGCAAAGTGAGGATGACAATATGCTTAGGGTTGATTGGTTCATGCTGGAAGCTGTTGCTGGTATACCCGTCCTGAACCATTTCGAAGTGACATTGTTTCCCCTTAAGGTCCAGCTGGAGAGAGAGCTTGGAAAGAAACTGTTCGAATACATTTTTCCTGGGATGGGCTCAAACGCCTTTGAAAATGGGGCCTTTTCACCGTTTGTGATAAAGCATATGCGGCCTCTGGGTGAAGAATCGGGGAGTGAAGATGATGAGAGTATCGCACCTGTCACTCCAGCCAGTAGTATTGCAAGTTCCTCGAAAGATGATTCTCAAGCATCCACTTTAGGCCCAGGATCCATAGAGTTGCGTCTAAAACCTACTCTTTCGCTAGCGGACCATCGCCCTTCAGGTTCCCCGTCTAAACGGATCAGAGGCCTCGAGATGACTCCCCTCCATCGAGAGCCGGTCCGGCAACTAACTCCTGACGAAGGACCATGTTCGGCTTCTCGCCCTTCGACAAGTCGTATACCGAAGAAAGCATCTACTGATAGTCTCCGTCCTGGGAGCGGGCAGCAATCTGAGATATCATTAGTGAGCAATCAAAGCGTAATCGGATCGGAAGGGAAGCCCAAGAAATTCGGTTTACAGAGGTCCTCTGCCAAGCCTAACATGGCAAAAGGCGATAAGGCCTCTGACGATCTATCGCAAATGGTGTCTCGTGCTTCCAACTTTATGACCCTGGCGCATGTTAAAATCAACGATGTCGTTCTTTGCCTGAGTTATCAGGGAAAAGGGGAGCGCAACATTGAAGATGTCCATGATTTTGTCTTCAGGCTGCCCGTGCTTGAATATCGAAACAAGACCTGGTCAAACCTTGACCTCGCCCTTCGACTCAAGAAAGATGTTATTAAAGCTCTCATCTCCCATACACCAGCAATCCTCGGAAACAAATTTTCCCACCATCGCCCCACGAAGCAACAACAAAGACGTCTTCGAGAACTCGCCTCCTCATCTCAAGTTCTTAGTGTGACCGACATTGGCCAAGAGATACCCACTGCGCCATCGTCAGATGGAGGAGGTAGTGTCATCAGCCACAGCTCTGCTAGCGAAAGATCTGAATCCCCGCCCCGTCGTTCCTTCACTTCAGCTGCTTCACCCCTTGGCCGATCAAACTCGGTGTCATCCAGTGGGGCTGCTTCTTCACCGAATCTCCCCGTAGCATCAGACTCACGGTCCGCCAAAAGTGACCACATTTGTAGTCGCGACGATGTATGTAACCCCACGGCTTCCATACTGATCCACATCATTTAACTAAATATTTAGGGCAATCACCTATTCCGTGATAGAGTCTCGAGACAAGTGGCGGGCGACCAACGATCTGTCAACCAAAGGAATGGCAATGGCCATGATAATGACGTGCCAGATGAAGGGTGAGCCTACTTTCTTTGCGCTAGTTTTTAATCTTATTATTTTTGGATGATGTTTATTAGCATATTGAAATGATCAAGGAAACTGATTTGGTGTGTTTGTCTGTTCTTGTCTAGACGACTGAAAAACTCTTTCGCCCACCTTGGGCGGAAGCTGTTGGGTTCTCGGGACTCACGGGACTCGAAATGCTCTTGAGAAACAAGGCTTCCTACTCAAGTCATCATCGTCCTCATCTGCGTCTTGATCATCGACTTTCCTGTCTCGTATGCCTCCCTAACGTGCAACTATTCGAATCAAAATATTCGTATATATACCCTGTCATACCTCTCTACACCGGTCCCCTATTCCCTCAACGTGCTCTCCATAACTTTCCAACATTATCTCTACTTCCCGTTTCATACAGAAACTGCTTTCATAATTTACTTGTTCCATTTAGCGTTTCCTTGTTGTATTGTATGGTGCATGTCGACGGGATTGGCTTCATCGGCGGGCAAAAGAGATGACAAGGAAACTGCATATAAATGGCGTTGCTCGAATCTCTTGTGTTGCATCCATTGTCCCACTATCTACTATCCACATTATATACCCCTTATTATTCTCTCTGTCACCATTATCACAAAACCCACTTCGGACGCTTTGAATGTTGGATATCTGATTTTTATTTCTTTAACCATTTAGTTTGTCTTTCCTTTCATGTCTACCTCCTACATTATGCATTGTCACTGGCGCATTTCTTGTTTAATATTACGGTCTTCGTCTTTTTAATCACAGGTCATTTCCATGTCTGCTTCCACTTTCAAGCCATTCATCTACTTCTTTGACCTTATTCAAGCCTACATATACTTTTAATGTTCCTGTACGCATCGTTCAACCTTGGGGGAGGGGATAGAAAGCAAAGCCACAAAGGCGGAAGAAAACGGCGCCTTGTTCCCAACAGAACTCATTTCGTGTTTTATGCAGGTACTTCTCCAGTCCTCCGTTTGGCTTCCACATAGTTTTTCTTTCGTCCTCATTTCCTTTTGTTCCAGATTTTAGTATGACACTCTTGGATGTGTCTTGTAATTCTGTCTGTGCCCGAGGAGATTTCGTCCTTTCGTCCTTTTAAAGTTTTCTCCCTTGGCTTTGCTCTTTTTTCTGTCTAATCCAGTCTACACTCAGTACATAGCAATATCGAACGTGTAGATACGTTTCGAAACAAGTCTAAATTGAGGTGAATAATTCGTGCTTGAAATTTATGTGATGCGGAATTGTTAGGGATGTCTTGTCTCAGCTCTATGAATTTCTACGTGCCACGCAGTTTTTTATATAGTCCTAAAATAAAAGCCGAAAATAACGAGAAAAATACTAATGATGCAGGGACAGAAGAATGGTGGGTAGTGAGGATAGAAGAGTTAATGGCAGAGAGACAAAGGCCAAAAGTATGCGGAAGATATATGGAATCCCAGTTCCCACGTGCCAAAAAAGTGGCAGGGTACAAAGTATAACAAACTGTTTAGAAAAGCTATAGATTTCATCAAACTTCTTCTGTTGGTGGAGGAGACGTTTCTTTCGACTCATCTCTGTTCTCATCTCTTTTTTCATCTCTACTCGTAGGTCCTGGTTTGTGAAAAGGTCGCATGGAAAACAATCGTCCAGAGGTGGAGAGAAATCGGGTTTCGGGCTTGGGGCCCATAATGGTGTCAGCGTAAGGCTCAATGTTTCGAGTAGCATTTTTTGCCCAACCGGCCCTTTCTCGCCGCAAATCCGCTTGTACCCAGGGAATGGTGATTAGGGTCCATATCGCGGCCCAAACAAATGGGAGAGTCCATCCTATCTAACCGATCAAAACGGGGGAGCTTGTTAGTGTATCATCCCCGGATCTCTAGGGAGTCAGGTTCGGGGAATTAAACTAACCACGTAGGCAGGATCTCGTGGTGTTGTAAATATTAAAATGGTCGTAATTGTACCGAAGATGATCGAGCCACCTGCCCAGAAACAGTTCATCTCAAAAAGCATTTCGCGAAAGTATGGGCTTGCTAAATATCTATCTCGCAGTGCTCGTCGATATTTCTGACCACCTCCGCCATCCACCGCGACGATATCTTCTATTAGGACATACAGAGCTGTCGGCATTACTGAGCCTTTGGGCGTGGAAGATATCCGGAATGGCGCTTGGTATCCCCTGGCACGAAGAATATCGAGGGACAGATGTACGATGCCAAAGTAGTACATGACTGTAGGTAGGGGCATTGCAAGGAGGCGGACTTCAGGTTCATAATGTTAACTTTTGCAAAGCGTTGTGCCGCCAGAGGGTGCTACAAGAACAACTTACTAGGTGGATTCTCTTGGACAGTTCCGCTGTGAGGACGTTAGCTAGCAATGGAAGAAAACTTCATGGCCAGTCCAAGGGTAAAAGACGTACACTATCAGTTCAACGGCCAGAATGAGCCATACTGTGGTGAAGTTGATTTGAAAGAAGTCCAGCTATGGTATTTCTTTTAGTAGTTGAGACACAACATGGTAGATTTCCGATATCCGACCACTTACCCATGACCTCCGCGCATTCAGCGGTCTTGATACAGACCCTTTTCTGAACAAGTGGTAAAATCTATAAAAATATTCCGCGATAGCAACTCCTCCAAGCGCAGCGGTACTGATAGTAAAAACTGAAAATAAAATTAATCAAGTAGTTAGTCCAAGCTGTCAATATTCTGCGTACCAAGGGAAGGGGAGAGATGTGATATCAAACACACCTAAATTTGGAGATAAATCGGTAAGATACCATAATGTGAAATAAAGAATCAATGGCTGAGCAAGCGTATCAATGACAAAAAGGGTCCAGAAGAGCGCAATTGACCGCTTGCGATCTCTGAGGGAGTAAGGTAGTTCTGGCGGACCAGAAACCGGAGGAACCATAGATCCGTCCATCAAATTAGGATCAGACAAGGATAAGCCTGGTACATGGTAAATATCTCTGACAACAGTCACAAGAAATTGGCGGTTGTCGACCAAGATATAGAATAACGGATATCAAGCAGAGTCCGGGGTTGTAGCAGCAACAAATGTGTCAGTGGGTGGCGGGCATGGGGCTAGTTATATATTAGCCCGACCAGATTTTTATGTCCAACTTATGATAAATATTCCAACCGATAAACAGGCGTAGAAAATGGCCTTCTTTTTACCGCTAGGTATGAAATGGTAGTTCTGCGGGCAGGGCGTACGCTGTATTGACGTCAGCCGTTGACATCATCCGTTACATTGAGCTAGTTAGTTGAACTAGTGACGTTTTGCGTGTCGATTTTGAACACGGACGAGCAGTGGCATCGACTTGTATGCTGGAAATACGGAGAAAATTTACCTCAAAGTGGACAAGAGGCTTTGCATATATCCTGCTGCTTGCCTTTATAAAAAAAAAAAAAGAAGAAGAAGAAGAAGAAGATATTGCATGTTCTGAAGGAGAGATATTTCGAAGGGAACGTCAACCGACCTGGCAAAGCCAAATTCAGACTCTCAACAGCGAAATCACCTTTCCGGGAATACCGTCTCGTGTTGTGAGTGACCACTCAACGAGTGGACCTCCGCCCTCAACATCAGGGTTAGTGGTTAGGGTTGGGGTTAGTTAACGACAAGGGCGTCCTTGGGGAAGAATGTCGAGTTTATTAGATGGAACTAACTGGTCATCAAGTTCCCTCAGGCACGTTGGTTCCTGAGGATATAACTGATAGCTACATTGATCGATCCCAGGATCAATTGCAAATAGGCCCAATCAAGGCGCTCTGGATCTTGCTGGTACACGATTTGTCATACTCAGAATTTTATCAACTAGTTAGTTAGTTAAGTTATGCATAAATGCTCCGTAAGTACGGCCGTAAATCCCAGTTGGAAAAACTTAGATGCTAGACATGGAAGGCATTTGATAATGCCGCTGCAAGGAAGAAGCGACTCCATGGGCATAGCCCCCATGATTGACCTCCAGAGGATTGCCCGGCCCATCCCGTTCTTGATGTTGATAGATTTAAAGCCAACCGTTTGACGCAGCGCAGGCTTGAAATGTAGATCTCTCTCTTTCTCTCTCTCCACGCCCCTTTGTGTGAATCCGGGCAATTCTTTAGGACAATACCGAGGTCATGTGAGGAGCGTCTGTTGTATTACATAAGCCCGCGATGTTTGCCACAAAACACAAGATCTGCAGAGTTCCCGTAAATTTTAATTCGACCTCACTGGCAACCTCAACGCCGCAAGTTCGAATCCCGTCATCGGCATCATCACGAGGGGCATGGGGAAAATATATCTCTAGTGTTAGAGTTCCTGGCTGACAGGGGGAGAATGGGACAATGGCTCGGAGTTTGAGGGATCTTATCGATTTTTTGCTCGCGGAGATATCACTCTGTGGCGAGCGAGGTGCGTATCACTCTATTTGCTCAACCACACCCCTTTTTTCCTGCTCTGGTTCCGAAAGCGTCTTAAGGAAAGGGTGGTGTACACATCCCAATTTTTGTGATATATCCTGCGAGAACGTCCTGTAGCTCATAGATGTGCAACTTACTCCTGGAGCTCTCTCCTACCTGCTGTTTCCGCTGCTTGAATTCTTTTTGGATTGCGGACGGAGACGTCCGCGTGGCGAAGAATATAAACCAGCTGACAGACACACAGGTGCATCTCCGGCTGATGTACTTTCCTTCATTGATAACTTCTATGTTCCGTTACCTCAGCAAAGCCACCAGCATGCTCAACATGACGGGGATGTTCGTCGCACCCCAAATGTTGACCGTAGGTTCAAGCAGAAAGCCTGGCTATGGCTGACAAGACACCCAGAGGTTTCGGTTGGCAAGAACAAGGAAGGAAACGGCCTTGCGTTGGATGAAGTGGAAGCCCGGTATGCCCAAGGGTCCGCCGCCGGGGAGCGGCAGTCTTGTAATACGCCAACTGCCTCCCTACCAGATAACCCTTCCCATGTTGACCCTCAGATTTCCGGGTCTATTTTGGGGAAAGGTATGCCCCCGAATTCCAGTGGGGCACTCCGAGTTTTTGTTTCGGAAGAGCGAATGTGGCTTGCAATTACGGGCCATGAACGTGACCACTCAAGGGTTCCTCCTCTGGAGTTTGATCTTTTATCAATCATTGCCTCTCGAAAATGGCAGGGCGTGATGCAACCGGAGTTGCCTAAACTTAGCGGCCAAGATAAACGCTCAGTTCCCAAACGAACAGACTCCTTAAGTAGGAAGGGATATATCGAAAAAAGGCCTGTTCAATATATGTCGGCACGAACGAGTTTATGCACACTCCGGAAATTTGTCCGCTCAAAGTCATCTGGTAATATTGTTGGATTGCCCGTGGAGAATGTGGACTCCGTGCCCCCTGAGCTGGGCTCTGTGATTGATTTTCCTATTCTTCTCGAAAGGCTGTTCCAATGCTTGAAGGAATTCAATGTCATTACTCGTATTGATCTGAAGGCGAAGCTTGGAATGGATGGCCGTTGGCGGGGCAGAGTTCTGGGAAGAGCAATTCGAAAGTTAGAAAGGATAGGTTGCATCCGTCGTGTGAGAGCCGTGTCACAATATTCCGATATGATGAGGACTCGTCATCCGTCTGTCATGCTTATCCGGGACCTTACCGAAAATGATCTTAGGCTTTTCCTAGAAGATAGTCGCAGCCTGGTAACATACCTGGAGCAGGAGGATATGGATGCTGTGGAAATGGACCAGGATCAAGGCCAGCAGGATACTGTGGATGGAATTCCAGAGATCAAAAGAGACATTGCCAGCCCACCTGAGGCACAATACTTCGAGCAGATGGGACGGGTCGTCCCTAGGTGGATCCCGGACCGCACTTTGCCAAATATCATATTTGACATAGTCGACAGAAGCGGGCGAGAAGGTAGTACAAATCATGTAAGTGAGCCAGAGATTCAATCCACTTTTCATTTCAACTAATCCCGATATTCAAGGATATCACCAATTCCTGCATGGGCGCATTTTACAGGCGGCCAACCGAGTCACTGATGAGCCGCCTTGTTGAGACCTGGCAGCTTTCTCAACCCCTTCACCTTCGACACCTCGCGTTGGTCCGAGACGTTGCCCTTCGGGGCACGGTTTCAATGTACATCCATTACTCTTTGCGCAATTTTGCCTCTCTCGTAAATGAGGGTCAAGTTTCCTGGGAAGCAGTTAAATTTTCACGAGAGGGAAAAGGTGTTGCTAAAGTTCCACCAGTTGATGCTATTCCCCAAATTGATGCGTACGGTTTTCCTGCTGATGAGAGGCCATCCAACCTTCTGAATGACGGGGACGCAACCCTTAAAAGCTGCCTGGAGGCTGTGAGACCCAGTGACTATACTCTTACGGCGTTTGATCCTGTCATTATAAAACGCAGAAATGGAAGCTATGGTACGTAATCATAACAGACTATGCGTTTATTAATTTTGTACTGACTTCTCAAAGGCGTAAGTTTCAGAGGAAAGGAATTGTCCGGAAAGTCCCAAAAGGCTTCAGGCCTGTTGGGTCTAGAAGCCAGCTCCCCAGCTGCTGAAAGGGAGTCTCCACGCGGTGCTAGTTACCAGGGACGGAAGCGGAAAGAAACCGCAGCAGATGTCGACGAGGAACTTGCGGAAGAGGCAGAAGTTGTACGATCATCAAAGTGCCAGCAGAAGGCGGAAGAGTTGGTTGATCCATACGCTGGAATGACAGAGAAGGAGAAATTAGAAGCTCAAGGGTTTGATGAGAGTTGGACTGAATATAGCGTCCTCCTGCTCGAACGACCTGGCCCTGGCATCTTTTTAACTCCAACAGGGAGACGGCGACCCATTGGGAAAGCAAGAGGTCGCCCAGGGAGAAGTCGGATTGCTATAATCAAGTTGGAAAAATTGAAGAAGTTTGATTGGTTTGTTAATGAGCAAGACACGGAGATCCCGCCGGCTGGAGACAGGGATCAGAGCCAAACCTCTGCAGCCATTAGTAATGCAGAGTCCATTGCAAATCAATCGACATCACAAATTCAGCAGACAACTAAAACAACTCAACTGACTGATTCATCGAAGTTAGTGGAAGATCTGTATCTCCAGGAAGTAATCCCTCTTGGTGCTCAGGTTCCAGTGGACAGACCTTCGGCATCCAGAAAAAGGAAATATGTTGCAACTTGTGAGAATGAAAATGAGAAACTCGGAACCTCCTTAGCACCCCAGCCAACTCCTAAAAGAAGGGGTAGACCGGCGAAAAAGAACCCCAAAGTTGCGAGTATCGACGCTACATTGCAGACCGGTGACAAGCGTTTCGACCAGGATACTGTGGCAGGTCATACAAGAATAACTGGTCGTGGCTCTCCTACTCCTCAGCTCAGCGATAAACGTCAGCAAGCCCTACGAGATGTAGCAGCAGAAGTCACACCGGCCAAAACCAAGCGTGGGACGAAACGAAAGTTTGCTGATAATGTTGCGGACTCAGAGCAATCAGCATTACCTCCAACTCCGGAAATCGTGTCAAGTGGGAGTGGCAATGTAGGATCTCCACCTTTTGACTTGGCTCCAGTCCTACCCTCTGAAGATATTCGACCTGTCTCTCCTCAGTTGACTGATTCTGCAATTCATCCACTATTCACCGCACAGACGTCCGAGAGTGGTAAGGAAAGAATTCCCCAGGATCAGATAATGCAGAATGAAATACATGCCACCGACAACACATCGAATAAAGCAGGTGATGGCTCTCAGGTTGTGGAGCATGAAGGAGTGGGTATAACCGAGACCATCCACGAACCCCCTTCTCGAGGTGCATCCAATTTAAACACCATAAATATCGATGGAAATAACGAAAGCAGGACAGCTCAATCCCAAACCCAAGACATTGATTCACGAACTCCTGAACCTGTTTTGGCAACCAAGGGAAAAATCAAGTCCAAGAAGTCGGATACCCAAGCTGGTTCAATCGCCTTTCTTCGAAGGAAGATCGTTATGGATATTGTTGAGATATCTGGTGGGGTTTACCCTTATGGCACTGAGCTCTGGTACCCCTTTACCACGGCATGGTTTAAAACAAAACAGACTGGGAGGCCCGACTTCCGAACACTTCGAACTACAGTAAAATATATGACCGAGAGCGGGAAACTTCGGCAACTAACGTTCAGCGGAAGAAATAGTAAAGGGTTAGTGGTTACAAAGTCCATAATTGCGAAGCCAGAGATTGCCGCAACTGATGCAGTAGTTATGGATTTGCAGAGAGCAATGTTGGAAGCTGACCCGCAACAATACTTCCCACCCGGCCCTGAGATTAACCCGTCGCTTAGGAAGTCGCATCGGATCGCCCAAATTCCAGAAAAGAGACTTCCAGAGATAGAAGAACAGGTAACCGTAACGTTGCATCAAGTTCCTGTGAGGGCTCGACCTCCTGAATTGAAACCACCGCGTGTCCAGCGACCAAGATCAGGACCGATAGAGCGCCTTAAGAGTACCATGCGCCGATCACCTCCACGTTCAGCTCTAAATTGGTTGACATCGCCGAATTCAGGCGTTGCAGAAGGGGTGCCTCGGCCTTTAGAATATGTATTTCGCGAACCTATTTTATCAGGAGATTCCATAACGGACTTGGGACTCAGTGTCCCCAGAAGACATCTCCCTCCAAGATCAAAACCTCCAACATATGCCACCATCCTACAGTCTATCCAGTCATTTCATCGTCCAACTGGGACGTTCGGGACTCTATTTGACAACAGGTTATGGCGGGGGCCACCAGGAGGAATAAAGCCCCGACTGGGTCAGATGGCTCCAAGTTTGCCCACAACTCTTGAAGATATTCTTTCTATGACAAAGAAACGGCCGTTCGATATATCAAATAACCCAGATCCCGTTTCTACCAGGGTGTTTTCTGAGATAGATGCAGTAGGCAGATGGGAATCAAAACATCCTGAGGTATTTGATTTGGAGAAAGATGGGTGGACGTACATTAACCATCGGATACCGGGCCCCTTCGAGAGTGCGCCGCAGGAGGGGCCTATACGATTTGAACCCAGTGAGCTCTCGCGAGCATCGAAGGAACGCTCAACGCCAATTTCCGAGGCTCCCTTCCGATCTCTAGCGTCAGCCAGGGTGACTCAAGAAGAGCAACCTAGCGATCATCTACCCTCGTCCCGCGGTCAGAAACGACCCGAGGGGCCCGTCAATCGGCGTCTCGAACAATTTCAGGAGTCCAAGACGGAGAAAAGAATTCCCAAAGCAGTTGGTCCGGCTTCCCGAAGGACTAAGCTTATTAAAGTCCTCTCTAGTGACATAGTACGGAAGGTTACCGTGGCAATCGTTGTTGTTCGAGTTTTGGCTGGTGGAATGGAGGGTAAAATGATTGACTGGCAGCTCGTTACGTTGGCCTTTCCAAACCATGACCCTAAATTTATTAGAGACCGGGGGAAAGCTATTCTCTCTAGAAATCGGCTTCAAATGTCCAAAATGCAAGGTGATTTCCAGGATCGGTTCGCGGAAGCGTATGAAAGGGATCAGGTGCCCCGTATCGATTATGGAGATCTTACTTCGTATGATTGGCAATGGATTGTCGATTGGGCTTGCACTCAGCTCGAGGGTCCACGAACCGATAAGCTTCCAAGTTTACCAGCCACTCGTCAACAGTTCGACAGACTTTTCGACATTCGCCAGGAACCCATACAAACTCTTGATGAATTGTACCAGCACAACGCCCCAGCCACGATTCCTCGCAAGCAAGCTCTGCTGACTGGCACGAGCTTCGTAATTCCCGTTTCCCAGACCAAGATGAAATGGGAATATTCAAGTACAGAGCGACTGAATATAGCTAAAACCTGGGTACGAGCTAATGTTATAACGCCGGAGGAGTCTTATAACCCAGCGGATGCGAGGCGGATTCTCGAATGTCTTGGTGAAGAGCTCATCGGTCAGGCGATACAGTCTCTCATCACTGAACGTGTGATCTCGATGGGCAATAGGGGTAGAATTACTCCAGGACGCAACTACGATGTTACAGAACATTTCGTACACACCTTCGGCCGCAAACGCGCCATCGAAGCTACCCAGTTGAAACGGGCTTTGACCTTCAAAACGACGATCCTCGACACACAGTTACATTTGGAAAAGAAATGCGCAGTGAACTATGACGCAGAGGATGGGGATATTCTAGTTCTTATTAATCTTTTTGCAGAGGGCAGGATAACAATCTGGCCCGTGAACCCCCCAAAGGATAAATACGGTCTGACCGACGGCGGCTATCTCACCCGGCTCATGGACAAGGGCAAGCTCCGTTTCGATATCCAAGTCCTTCCTGTTCCAGATCGTTACATCTACGGAAATCCTGTGAATCTACCGAAAACGATCCCAAGGGGTGATATGCCCCCTGATTTCCCACCGCCCACTGGCTCCCCACCTCTCTGCAAAATCCCCCTTTGGTTTGACATCCATGGCAACCTTGTAAAGATGCTTTGGGATCTGGCTGTTGCTGGAGTGGTAGGTTATCTGGCCTCCAGGCCTGGACTTACTACAGCTGATATTGGTCGCCTATTTCAGCCACATATTGCTGATTGGGAGGTGGCGTTGGTTCTGGAGTGGATGGAAGAGGCTGGTGTTGTTGAGAGACTTGGTGGTTTGTCCGGTTGGGCGGTGAAGGAGTGGTGGTGGATGGTTGTTCAGAATTGAATGCTCGTGGATTAATTGTTTAAGCATGTTGTTTTGTCAGTGAGTGCAGTAATTACTCCAAGAAGGAGCCAAAAATGTATCATTATATCTTTTACTTTCGTTCTGTATATATAAATTGAGATTTGATTAGTTAAAAAAAAAAAAAAAAAAAGGGGGGGGCTGCTTCTGTACGCAGCATTTCATCCACTTTTGTATATCCACTGCTGAAATTGTCACACGTTTGACATCTTTTTGCCCGCACAGCCAAAAGTCAACGAGATAAAAGAGTCATCAGGCCAGAGGCATTATATTCCAACCCGTCTCAATAAATACGAAAAAGATGCTCTCGAGCTTACTGCTGTCTTCATATATAGAGTAAGCAAGTCTTAATTAATGTATGGGGAATTAAAACGGTGATATACATTTATATCTAAAACATGCTCGAACCAGTTACGTTATGACGCAGAGGGGAAGCAAGGAAAACGCCGTATCCACACGTAGTTATCGCCCACATTAAGGAGTACCTTTGAGAAAACAAATGCCGCCCATGAATAAAAATATCAAAACGTGAAAAAAAAAAATCAATCCCAATGCCGCCATTCATCCTCGCCCGTAGAACGCCCAGGCACATTACGGCCACCCTGCTGTTTATCAGGCGTGCTTTCATTCTCTGACACAACCTCCCCTGAGCGAGGATGGGGAGAGATGGAATGCAGAGTCTTCATCGAGAGGCCGGTTCCCGGCCGCTGCGTATTAGTTGTTCCATCAGAAAATGGGTCGCCATTACCAAGTCGTCGTGAGACATTGCTATGGTTTGTAGATGTTGTATGGGTAGAAGATGGCCAGTTTTCATACTGTGGAGGTGGTGGGACAGTGGCCGGACGCTGATGTTGTGACTGATAATGGTTTAACCGTTGAATTCTCCTGCTCTCTATTCTTTGCTTTATCTCAAGCCAGTTGGAGCTTGTTTCCCAATGCCAGCCATCGCCGGTGGTGTTGCATACGGGTAGCGCCCAGAAGAGAGGGTTTTCGCCGAAGAGATGTCTCAGGTTACGGCGCCAACCTAGGTCAAATGCATGTGGGAGATTTTCTTCGTCTTGCTCGTCGAGATATTCGTCATATCGCGCTCTTTCACGAGCGTTCTCAAGTTCTTCGTAGGAGTGATAAAGTGATCGTTGTGCGGGTGATAGTGGTTGATTGTGATTTCCGTACGTTTGTCCCTGCTCCGGATCATCGGATCGTCGACTGGGAACTTCTTCGCCCTCATCAGCTCGTATGACGCCAGGGGGGGCATTGGAATGCGCATCAAGGAATTGATGACCATGGTTGTGATCCATTTGTCCAGGAGCAGGGCTAACCCCTTCTTGCCGGTAACGATCAAATGATCTGCGGATAGGGGCGAGGTATCTAGTCTTTTCTAGACATTCTATCGTAGTCAACCCCCTTGCCGCAAGGGTAATATGCCAGATCGTGAACGCCGACAAGACAAGGCCAATTATCCCAGAAATGAGAGCCAGTAGAATATTGGAGACCGGGACGAATGATTCAATGTATTGAGTCTGGTCCAGAATCTCTGTCCAAACCCAGGTTGCAGAAACTGCAAAGCATAACCAGGAAAACAAACATGTATATATCAAGAATAGCAGGAATGCTTTGTAGTTACGAAATCCTACGCAGGTAGCTAGCCAAGGGCAATGGTGATCCATCTTGAGGACACACTGCTTGCATGACGAGCAGTGGTGAGTTCGATCCGGTTTGACATTCTGACACTTTTTACAGAACCTTCTACCACCAGTTGAGCTTACCGTCAGGGACACGAAATCCGGTGTTTCTATAGAGGGGAGGGAGCTATATTCATGTCGGTTTGCATGATTATTCTTTAAAGGCCCTGTTGAAGGAGAACCTGGGGCCGTGAAGACAGCAACCGTATAGCATGTATTTGAAAGAAGGTAAAGAATTATTCCTAGAACCGATGTTGCAGGACCTGGTTCCCAGGTCAGTAAATCCGTTGTGGAAATAGCTCGCACGAGCCAGTCGTACTCCCTCGGGGGGAAGAGAGAGAGAGAGAGAAAAAAAAAAAAAAAAAAAAAAAGCGCAACATACCAAACCACCTGCTTTTTGACGACTGCATTCCTATGCGTGCCTCGACAAATACAGACCATGTCGTGAGCCCGTACACAAACGCCAACGGAAAATATAACAGCACGCTACAGCACAGGCGTTCGCATCGTCGAAAAGAATCCCGGCACTTCCGCCTCGATGGCGTTGTTGTGGCTACGGAAGAAAATGCGTTCATCGTGTCAAAGCTCCCGGTTTAATGGAATAGGTAGAATATATGTATCTCATGAGGGGAATCTGATGGCATTCATTGTTACGGCGACTGAACAAGGTAGGCCGCGGGGGAAAAGGGCTCTCTCTGTGAAGTCGGATCGTGGGCAGGGACTAAAGTGCTCAGGCTTGCCGAAACGACGATTCTCGGTGTAAAGGATTAAAGAAAAGAAAGACGACGGCTATTGTAAATGATGGTGTATGGTATCTTGTCGTTCGTTGTTAATTGTTATTGTTATCTAACGATCGATGAAACCTGGAACTCGGCCCTACAAGATTACCTAATCCCAACTCCGTAACTAACGTAATCCATCACCTAGTTGATCGGATCACCTAGTCGATCAGTTTATCCAACGTGTATGCGTCTAGCATTCACATCAACAAAATGCCCACCCTACGGCCTTCTCAAGCTTCCATTCAGGAAGGAAAGATTCTTTTGGCTATTCAGGCATTAAAAAGAGGTCAAACTTCAAGTATTAAGAAAGCTGCAAGCTTGTACAGCATCCCTTTTACCACCTTACAGAATTGATTGAATGGTCATATGACATGAGAGAATTCCCAACTCAACAATTGAAAATTAGCCTCTACTGAAGAGTCAGTTCTTGTACAGTGGATTCTATCCATGGATGAATGTGGCCAGCCTCCTTGAGTGCGCACTGTATGAGAAACAGCCAACCTTCTTCTTACCAACTGAGATCCTAGCATTGAGGCTAAACCTCCACCTACACTTGGCAAATGCTGGGTTAATTGATTTATTGATCATCATTCTGAGCTCAAATCCAAGTTCTCACACAAGTGCAATCATCAACAGGCTCTATGTGAGGATCCTGAGATTATCTGTAGATGGTTCAGGCTTGTACAAAACACTATTGCAAAGTATGAGATTCTGAAAAATGATATCTACAACTTTGATAAGACTGGATTTCAGATGAGAGTTATTAGCACTGCTAGAGTGATGACTGTATCTGAAAAAATCAATTATTCAAAACTGGTTCAATCTGGAAATCAAGAATGAGTAACTGTTATTGCTGGAATCAATGCCACAGATTGAGCTCTTCATATGATGATCATCCTCAAAAAAAAAGTGCACTAATTTTATTAATATGAGATAGAAGGGCTGCCAGACAACTGAGTCATTGAAGTCAGTGATAACAACTGGACAACTGATAAACTGAGTCTGTATTGACTGAAGAAGATGTTCAACAAGAACATTCTATTCTGTACAAAGAGCAAATATTGATTGTTGATTCTTGATGAATATGAAAGTCATACTTCAGCTGAATTTGACTGATTCTGCTTTGAGAACAATATTATTGCTCTCCATATGCCAGCTCATTTCTCTCATCTTCAGTCATTGAATGTTGGTTGCTTTTTCTCTCTGAAAACAGTATACAGATGACTGATAGAGAAGCAAATGCAGCTTGAAATCAATCACATCGATAAAAAGAAGTTTTTGAGTCTCTATTCTACTGCTCATATACAGACTCTGACTGTGAGCAACATTAAGAGCAGCTTTAGAGCTGCTGAGCTGATTCTGTATGATTTTGAGCAGATTTTTTCATATCATAATATCACAATACATATGCTCATCTCTTCTGGAACTTCTCATAGCTCTCAAGCTTTCTGGGCTATAGCCACATCACATAATGTACATCAATTGAAGCAGCAGGCTGAGAAGGTCAGGAAATATATTAAATATTATACATAGAGTCCACCCAGTTCTACTTATCAGGCTCTAAGCCAGTTTGTCAAGAGCTGTCAAATGATCATGCATAGAATGGCACTTTTAAAGCAGAAGATCAAGAAACTAAGAGCTACAAATGCAAAACAAAAGAGAAAGTGAGAAACAGATTGTATATATATAGTTCAAAAAAGTGCTTTGAGAATTGAAGAAGACTTGAATTGTATACAAAGAATCAATGAATGAGAGCAGAGAGTGATTGAAGCTGCTGACTCTCAATCACAAAAACACATAGCACCATGATGTAGTGTATGTGAGACTATTGAATATACTGCTCATACATGCTCTCAGCATGTAGAAAATAATTCTTAATATAATTTACTACTTTCTGTATATAATTGTTGCTTAATTTAATCTAAAATACTTTGAGTGATGAAAGATCAATCAACTAGATGATCTGATTAACTAGATGATGAATTACATTAGATTAGTTAATTAACATAATCAATAAGTGAGCAAATCATATAAGTGAGTGAACTACTTCTCACTCTCTATACAATGAGAATGTCTTCAAAGTCTCAACTATAAAGAAAAACTAGCAAATTATATTATAAATTATTTTCTATACACTTAGAGCATGTACAGGTAATATGCTTAATAATTTCACAGACACTACACTGTGATACTGCATGTTATTGTGATTGCAACTCAGCAGTTTCAATTACTTCCTGCTCTCATTCATTAATTCTTCATATGCAATTCAAGTTTTCTTTAACTTTCAAAGCACTCTCTTGAGCTACATATATACAGTTTCTTTCTCACTTTCTCTTTTGTTTGACATTTTAAGCTCTTAACTCTCTGTTTTCAGCTGCTAGAATAGCAACACTGTGCATTGTCATTTGACATTTCTTGATCAGCTGACTTAGAGCATGATTAATTGAACTAAGTGAGCTCTGTGTATAATGCTTGATATATTCTTTAACTTTCTCAGCCTGCTGATTCAATTGATATACATTATGTGATGTGACTGTCACCCAGAAGGTCTGAGAGCTGTGAGATATCCCTGAGAGATGGAGAGTATGCATCATAGTATTAAACTATGAGAGAATCTACTCAAAATTATATGAAACCAGCTCAGCAGCTCTAAAGCTGCTTTTGATGCTGCTCTCAGTTAGAGTCTGCATCTGAGCTGCAGAATAGAGACTCAAAAACTTCTTCTTGTCAATATGATTGATATTAAGTCACATCTGATTTTTCATCTACTGTCTGTACATAGTTTTCAGAGGTGAGAAGCAGTCAACATTCAATGATTGAAGAAGATGAGAGGAATGTAACAGCATGTAAAGGGCAATAATCTGATTCTCAGTGCAAAATTGATCAAATTCAGCTAAGGTATGACTTTAGTGTCAGTCTAGAATCAATAGTCAATATCTGCTCTTCATATAGAGTAGAGTCTTTTTGTTGAACATCTCTTCCAGTCAGTACAAGCTCAGCTGATTAGTGGACCAGTCATTCTCACTGACTTCAATCACTCAGTCATGTGATAGCCTTTCTGTCTTATACCAGTAGAATTGATACATTTTTTCTTTGAGAATAATCATTGTATGCAAAACTTAGTCAGTTGCATTGACTTCAGCAATGACAGTCATTCATTTCTAATCTTCAGACTGTACAAGCTTGAGATTCTCAGCTGTTTCAGATTCAGTCATCATTCTGGCAGTCTCAATTACACTTATTTGAAACCTTGTCTTATCAAAGTTGTAGATATCATCTTTCAGGATCCTATACTTTGCAATAGTATTTTATGCAAGCTTAAATCACCCATGAATAACCTCAGAATCCTCATATAGAGCCCACTGATGATCATACTTGCATGAGAACTTGAATTTCAGCTCATCATGGTGCTTGACAAAGTTTCATACCCAGCATTCACCTACTGTGAGTGGGGGATTGAATCCTCAACTAGCAAGGAGATTGGCAATTTCTTGCACAGCTGCAACTCAGGAAGGCTGACCTCACTCATCCATGGCCAGAATCCATTGAACAAGAGATTCTTCCTCTGTAAGATTAAGTTTCTAGTTCTTTGAAGGTGTGTCAACATGTGCTGTACAACCATATATGTGATGAGTTAAAGTTGCATAAGGGACTTCATATAGCTTTGCTGCAGCTCATACACTTGAAATTTGATCATTTTTAAGTGCTTGAATGGCTAAAAGAAGCCTTCCTTCCTGAGTAGAGGCTTTATTTCTTTGTGTGGTTGACATTTTTGATGCAGAGCATTTCACATTGTACAGAGAGTGGGAAGTGGTTCGCTCACTTATATGGTTCGCTCGCTTATTGATTACGTTAGTTAACTAGTTAGTTACTTGACTACTTAGTTATAATTCGCCCCGTAACTCGTTTAACCCCGTAACTATCACCATCAAACGTTGCTCCGGGTAAAGCCACCGCGTTTACAGTCCAACGATCTGATAGCTTCATCGCTCTATTTCTTTGCACGCGAGGGACACCGTTGTCTTACCTAGCTTCTTGAATCGAACGGTCCCATGAATTTGTTCTCCATTCCTTCGTATGAATTGCGGGGTTGTTGGCGGTTGACACGTCCAAATATACACAGCTGCGTGCAACAGCTTCACTTGTGTCGGAAAGTTTGTGCTCCTTGATCGAGTTTTGCTGTTCCTGGGTCAACGGCGACCAGATCTTGTCCAATAAGCCAACCAGGACAAAATCGGCGATCATTACAACGCCCATCATCTTCGCCTCCAGCTGCTGAAAAAAGCCTGCCGTTTTGAGAATTTGATGGCCACAGCGCTTCCATCTGTGTGATGGCTCTTGGTAGCACAGTTGCTAGGATACTCATATATCAACTCCCCGCGAAACGGACCGTCATAACATAGCACGCGCTCCGTTTTATAAGGGGGTTGGTTCTTTTGCTGTCCTGGACATTCTGCTGGCCGAACTTTCTTTGGGAAGAAGGCAAGATTTGATGGGAGTGCAAGGAGTGGCAGGTTCGCTGACTTGCTCACTACATAAATAGACGGAAAAGAAGACCGACCCGAAGGGGTGTAGCTGAGGGACGTGATGTGTTCGCAGGCAGGAGAGTAATTGTATCGAGGTGAATTCATCGTATGCCCTGCAGTTCTCAACGTGTTGTGTAGTACCTGTCTCGCCATCGAATGTATGAACACGCCCCACAAACCATATACTTGGGATCACGGTATTTAAAAACTACAAGATTAGTTTTGCTGCCTTTTGGGATTGTACTTGGGTTTAGGAATTGATATTGCGAAAGCTTTGTAAGCGTTTCCAAGGAAACGAATCGTTAAGTGGGTCAACCGAGGTTGCGCACATTCTTCCAATTGCCAACTCGTTGCCATTGGTATAGAGATATACCAAGCAGTTGGCGAATACAGTTAAAACATTGAACAAATTGGCCCATTCAATTAGCACTCTGTAATCCGGATATACTCGGCCTCTTCATACTCAAGCAGCAGCAGCAGCAGCACACACACAATGGCAAATGAGACCCCTGTCCATTTCTTCGATATCAACTCCAACCTCCCAAGTATGTATATACGTACCTGCGCATACATCACACAGCGCAAATCTAACTATTCCCCATTACGAAACCCCCCCCCCGGCTTCCCAGCTAACCCAACCAAACACAGTCCCCTCCAAATCCTGGTCCCCCAACACCCTTCGAACCCGCCTCGTCCTCAACTTCAAAAAGATCCCCTACACCCAGTCCTTCATCTCCTACCCGGACATAGCCCCCCTGTTGAAATCCGCCTCCGTCCCTCCTCTCCATGGGGCCAGAGTTCCCTACACATTACCCGCAATCGCCCATCCATCCAGCATCGGCACCTCCCACGGCGTTCTTAACGACAGCTGGCCTATTGCCCTGCATTTAGAGAAGACATTCCAGTCCCCACAGCATCCCACCCTATTCCCATCGGCAGGCAGCTATGCGCTCGCGCTAGCGGTGGCGAGGGTGTTGAACGCCATACTCCCCCCAACGCGAATGATCCTCCTGCCTAAAATCCCGCAGATTCTAGATGAGCGGGGCGCGGAGTACTTTCGGCGGACAAGGGCCGAGTGGTTTGGAAGGTCCTTGGAGGAGATGCTGTCGGACACTGAGGGCGTGGAAAAGTCATGGGCGGACGTGGAGGTTGAGTTGAAACTGTTGGCAGATATGTTAAGGGGCCCACCTGGCGTTAACGGGGGGGGGAAGAAGAAGGGGCCATTTTTCGAGGGAGAGCAAGCCGGGTATGCGGATCTGTTGTTTGCGGCGTTTTTGGCATGGTACGAAAGGGGCGATCGGAAGGACTGGGAGCGTGCAGTGAGCATTGGGGATGGGGAGATTAGGAGGTTTTGGGATGCTTGTTTGCCGTGGATCCATGGGCAGGGAGAAGAGAAAGAATATGTCTTTGACAAGGAGGGTTGAGACGCAATTTGCATCCCTGCTTTTGCGTTGCGTCAAGGTCCCCTCCCGCCCTCAAGGGGGCATTAATTATCGCCTGTGGAAGGACGGCCTTTTGGAACGTATTGTTTAGGGAACCTTAGTCCGGGTTATAAGATAACCCCGGACGCCAGGACAAATACCTCTCCAAAGTGGTACGAGGAGAAGGGTGCTCAGAATCAATTAGTCCCCCAACTAGATAATGAAAAGCGTAGGACACCAGATGGGAGAACGTAGTGTATTGATTTTGTATATAATACGCAACCAAAGAATGTGCCTGCTCATATATATGGTTATGTATATCTACGCCGCCACTCTCCCGAGGCCCAGAAAGAAAACAGTAACCAAAAGGATTATACAACAGAGAAACGCATGTATGTGCCACATGGATTTTATTTATAATATCACGTCCGTACCTTGGGTACTCGCCGCATGAGAAAAGGAAAGACACCAGAATAGTAATAACGGGGGCATATTCCGTAGAGGGTACCCGGGTGCTGTAAAATGAACGGACATAGAAAGCGAAACAACACAGGAGAGAAAAGGAACAGAAAAAGATAACGCCGATGATATATGCAACTGGCGAAATGCATGCCTCAAATCTTAAGATAGCAGTAAAACAGGGCGAAAAACTATTAAATAAATAAATACACAACGAACAATGAAGAGCGGGGTGAGATTGACAGGAATGTGCAACAGTTTGGCAACGCAAATCATCAAGCATGAAATTGACGAGAAGCCCAATCTGTTAGAGTATGGAAGTTGAAGTTGGTATACAAGTCCAAGGATATTATAACTGATATCTAGTATCGGAATGCCATGCTTGGGTATCACAAAGTCGAAAAACGGGGGGCTATGCAAGGCAAAAAAGTCATCGGTAACTTTATTGGAAGCAAAACACGGCGGAGATCCCATACAGCAGAGAGGCTTTAAACAATCTTCCCAACATCGCACCAATTCTTGCCTTGGATAGGCTAGATAGAACACCAAAGGTCAGGTTAGCCATATATCATATCAAATATATGGGGTAAAATCGAAGGATATTAGCGGTAACCAGCCTACAAAGGAACGGCATATGGGGGTCCCAAAAAAAAAAGGGGGGGGGGGGGGGGGGGGGGGGGGGGCCCGGGGGTGTGGAGAGAACTTACCAAACACGACAAATACTTGCACCACCCACACTTGGACCGATATTTGTAGAAATTATTCAACAGCAAAATAAACGCAATAACAATTCCCACAAGTGTCCCTGCCCGCACAAGCCACCACACCCACCAGAGGGGCTTACGCCCCGTAAAAAACTTAACAGGCTTCGTAGCCATGAACTTATTCTTCATCTTCTTCTTCGATTCAACTCCGTCCTCGACAAGCGCCCCACTGGCAACCACGGGTTCGTACGGGTCCCCAGAAGCTCCGATGCGCCGTAGTCGATCGGGTGAACGAAGAAGGGAAATGCCCAGCACAAGTCCAACGAGAAACCCTCCGATATGCGAAAAGTTATCCAAACCAGGAAGCAAACCGAGGACAAACGATATCGCAATCGTGATTAGCATGATGATGAGTTCGGTGACGGGTTTTGGTCTGCTACCCCACGTATAAAAGAGGTCTAAACAGGCGAGGGCCAGGATGCCGGAAAGACATCCCGACGCACCTGTAGATGCGATACCGGATGCAGCAAAGTTAGCACCGAGAATAAAGCCAAAGATCCCCGAGGCGAAATAGACGATGGCATATCTCCACCAGCCGATTGTTCGTTCCATGTCCGCACCAATGGTTAACTGGGCCATCATGTTGAAGCCAATGTGGACCAGGCCCGCATGGAGGAACATGGGTACGATGAAGCGGAACCATTGATTGGGTTCTGGTTTCTGCTTGATGCTTCCGTTGGGTTTTGGATCGGGAACTCTGTGGCGCTTGCTGAACCCGCAGAGTTCGGAGAGGGTACATTGGTTTTCGGGAGAGATGGGGTCTGAGGAGGTGCTACGGGGGCAAGGGAAGGGGACGAGGTCGCCTGTGACATTCTTGTTGTTTTGGACACCTTCCTCGTTCCGCATGCAGGGAACGAAGCGGGCACCCATGTTAATCTGGATATAGGGTGATGGACCGATCATAGGGTTAAACTCTGGTCTAGTCATGATGGGGGATCCTGTCAATTTGGCTGGAAGAGCACAGAGAGAGCAACACATGAACCGTCAGTAACGAGGTATCTTTCTTTCACAAAAATCATATCATATGATTAATCAATCGGGATTTCTTTAAAGAGGACAATACCACTTCGCACGAGCTCAGCAATAAAAACCGCAATCTGCACAGCTGTCAGAAAATACGTAACCCACGGTATTTTCTTCTTAAACCAGCGCCTCCCCTTCCAGCCTCTAGGATGATCGCTCATCGGGTTCGGGTTCAACGGCACGCGCTGGCTCTCACGGTCCGGGCGGTAATGCGTATCTGCATGCATCCACTCTGGCCGCCCACTAGTGGTGGTCTGGACATTGTTCTTCAGAGGGATGTCGTCTGCGTATTGATCAGCCCCATGCAGCCTTCCCATCATGACATCGGGAGCAGCATTACCTCCTGTCACGCCATGGCTGTGGACGGTGGGGTAGGTGGGATAGTCAAGATGCGAACCGTGAGAGTACTGACTAGGATCCCGGTCAAATGGGTTTCCATAGACTCCATATGGCGAAGGAGAGTGTGCTGGGGGAAAGGTATTGGTGCTGGAGTGTGGATGTACCGGTTGTTGAAAGCCGTAGGGATTGTAAAATTCGTTGGCCGCCATCTTCTAGAACCTCTCTGGAGCCTTTCTGGGAGAAATAGGACGAAGGGATGGAGAAATGGAGAGTCGGCTTTTGATACGCTAAAGGCAAAATAAAAAATAAAAAATAAAAAATAAAAAATACGCGGGAAACGGAGATGATGGACGGGGATGATGATGATGATGATGATGATGATGATGATGAGAGATGCAGGACGGCAAGGTAAATGAAGGTTGTGAATAGCCGTTCAAAACAAGCACAAAGGCGCCTTCTCTGTTGCACCAAGGTGTTGGACGACTCTGGTATCTCTCCTGCGTCGCAGGAAACAAAACGAACGTGGTTAACCCGTCTACAGACCAGCTCTCAAACCTGCGTTGCGGAACAGCGGCGAAGGTTTGGAGCTTCGCCGGGTTCCGGGGGTTGAGATCAAGGAACAAGGGGCTGGGGGGGCTGGAGGCTGAAGCGGGTTGGGTGGTTAGTGTCACATGAACACAGCACCCCCCAGAGCAGCTTAGCGTGGGGAACAACCTGGCTGAGGCGGTGCGGAGGGGCAGAAAGACCGAGGGAGCAAGACCCAGGTTCCGGGGGAACGGTTTGACACACGGATTTGGTGGGCATATATATGCGGGTGAAGCCCAACTGGTTATATACAACTGCTGGGCGTTGGAATATCTAAATCCACTCACTGGTTTATCAGCATGTTGTCGTTGCCTTGGATCGCCAGTGATGCATGCATACCTCCCCAGATAAGACTATTTAGTGCAATTGAGTTAACTAGTTAGTTACGTGTTGTTGTGGCTGGAGAAGCATGGATAGTTTGACTAGTCATTAATGTCGCAACTAGGGTCAATGCTAACGTCAACATCAGTATTGTTCCCACAGAGCAAAATCGACACCTCACATGAACTTGTATATCTGTCCTATTGATATCCCATTGTAGCCATCGATCCTCAATCTAAGACAACCATATTTCTTTCTGCTTATGAAACAATTTCAATTCCTTTTCCTCGTTTCGCTGCCATCCATCCAAAAAGGCGCCCTGCCAGGTGCTAAACCAACACCTGAGAAATGATCGTGAAACTCAAGATAACTTCCTATGTGGTGATCCTATCTAACCAAGTCCATTCCAAATTCAGGAGTGAAGGGCACAAGAGATGAGCAAAATCAAAATCGTCCATAGGGGCTGTGGTTGGTGGTGCATTCCACCAGAATCCATCATTACATGATGCCAAACTTGGAGATCCCGCGTGATAATCCGTTCCGTCGCCCGGTCCTCCACTTCCGATGAGTGCACATGTCTCCCTGAAAACACGGGATGGTTCGTCAAAGGCCTAGATCTCAAGGATATTTCCATACCAATAATTATCATCATCATGCCGCTACCATTACTCTGAAGTAAAGGAGTTGCAGGAGGAGCGAAACAGTGCACTGCACCAGAGCACCCACGCGGATTCTCGATACATGTTTCGGAAAGCGGATGTGATCCGGGGAACGACGATCACGAACCTGAGATCGGGCAGGGAATGCGTCATAGTTGTTTGTTTGTCTTTGCAACATTGATTGACCGTTTCCTCCGCTTTCCAATGGGTATATGTACCTGACCGTATAAGGATGTACGGTTCCCTCCCCGCTCTCTCTTCCCCCCCCCCCCCCCACACACACACACACAAAAAAAAAAAAAAGAGAAGACAAGAGAAGAGAAGTGAAGTGAAGTGAAAAGAAGCGAAAAGAAGAGAAGTGAAGTGAAAAGAGAAGAGAAGAAAAAAATCCAATGCCTTTCATTTTGTTTTGCCAGAAGACAAATGCGCATAGAGGCAGAGTAGAAGATAAACCAAAAGAAGTTCTTCTGCTACATGGATGATTCTTTGTCAGCAATACCTGCCTAGGCCTGGTAAATGACAGGAATTCATTTTGCCTGGTCACACTTATCATCATTGCCAATGGTGGGCATACATACCGGAAGCGAAAGGATAATACAAGAAGCCCTCCAAAATCTAAGTCTTGTTTCCTAATCCCACCCCTTTTCACTAACATTCATCCGAGCTGATATAACCTGTCAAATCTGTGGCAGCGAAGGCGTTGGCAATATCGCCGCTTCTGCAATTCCGGCACCAGCACAAATCCCAGTTGAAGCCCCCGTCGCATTAGCCAAAGTCAACGACACAGCAATCGACTCCTTCACCCCGTCCGTCCCCGTAAGGATCCAAACAAGCCTGCTAAGTTTCTGAAACAGCAATGGCGGGAAATACAGAAACAACGCCCATACCAGCAGTGAGAGAAACACGAGCAGGAAGGAATTGGCGACAAATTTCTCCTCGGGCGTCATGACGTAGATGCCATAGGTGACTTCATAGCGGTAATAGGCGAGCTGGAGACGGTTGGAGAGGCGTTTGAGGATGTTGGGTTGGCGGCGCCGGGAGGCTGGGTCGCTTATGGGGGGTGCGTACGGGTAGGTCCTGGTTGTCATTGGATGGGGTTTGATCAGATGGTTGTTGTATTGGGAGGGATCACAGTGCTTGGGTTGAGCAGGAATAGGAGAGGAATGTAGTGTTGATGTGGACGGCCACGTCGAGGTGATAGAGGTTAGAGCCGACGCAAAGGGCGAAGAGAAGCGTTGCGTTTTGGTCGCCATCGTGGAATGGAGTATATTATAGGGGCATACGGATGTTGGGGATATGGGGAAGGAGAGATTGAGATATCCCGCAGCAGGAGCGTGAGGAAGAAGGGGGTTTGCGCTGTTCCAGCAGTTTTTGGTTTGCTGGTATAACAAATCTGCAACAGGCGGCTGTTGCCGCTGTGAAAAGCAGGCAAGGGTTACGGGTATTGGGCGCTGCAGCGCACCCACGCTCACCGACTGGGCTGCCGACTCGAGAGGAATCTTGCTGGGGGTTCGCAAATAGAGAAGAGAACGTGGGGAAGAACCAAATAAAAGACAAGGGGCAAAAGTATGGAAACTGGGATGGAATTTCCAACAACAACAACAACAACACGTCTATTATTATAATTTTTGGGGTATCTTAAAAGATAATGAAATCGAACACCTATTCTAGCAATATTAACAATGGTATGTTCTATTTCTTCAGGCAAAAATCTCCCCGCTGCCCAAGCTTCAGTAGTTGGGTCCAAGAAGAACATCAAGGACACATGCAAAGAAGGGTGGAAGGAAGTGGTTTCCCTCGAATATCTAATTATTATAAATCAAGGTTTCAACCCTTTTTCTTCCCGAATTTGTGATATTCATATACCCCCAGCTTCCAGCCAATCACTGGCGAGACCGAAGATGGTTTCGCTTCCTGGGAGGGGGAACTGTGTATTCAAGGAAAAGCGGGTTCTGGTAGTTGGGCGATCACATCTTGCCAGCTGAGCCTCAAGCCCTAAATTACCGGGTAAGTCCCGTTGCTGGCAACCAAAAGCAGCAGAAGCACAACAGAACATATGCCGGGGGGAGTGGGGGGCTCAAAGGGACCCGAGGAGGACCCGCAAAAGTCCTGCTCGTCGCAACCTGTAAAAAGGGGATGGATAACTAATACACTCGCTACCCGGCTAAATACGCTCTCTCCTCCAAAATAAACTATTGGAAAAATTCAAAACATAATTAGCTGAAACACAGCTGCACACACCGAAAATAATCAAGCGTTTCAATGTAGTCCAGTAGGTGCCCAACCGAACCCCCCCCATCAACTGCCAACCCAGTCGCCCTCAAACGTCTCAAAAACCTTCAAACCCCCCACAAGGGGGGATGGATTTTGAATAGATAAAGAAGAATACCATCAAAGCAGCAACAAAACATTCAATTCTATCTTAATTCATGAGGAGAAAAAAAAACATCTATAAAACCATCTATTCTCATGATGTCGTTTATTACTGTCAGTGTTTTTAACTCTATTCTGCAGTGCTGAAATGATGAGGAAGTTACAGTAAATCAAGAGTCAATTCTTTCTTCATGACAGTGAATACGAGGAGATGGAGTATAAAAGACAGCTGAGCTTCAGCAGCTTGACAGCAAAAAATATTTCTTTAGAAACATCAGCAAAACTAGTATTGAAATCTCTGAATTAAATAAGGTCAAACTGTCACAGTGAACAATAAAAAGCTGGTTGAACTATGTTAATATGGAATGTAGAGTATTTGAATATATGATTATCAACTTCAAAACTCATTCAACAAGGACTCAATATCATCTTGTCTGCTTATCACTCAGAGCTAGCTGTTCTGTTCCCCTATACTATTTTCAACACCTTGTGATACTTCACGGTCACTCCGGTCACTGCTGAACAGCATACAGTCTATACGACAGATGCTACACTCCTGCAGGAGTTGATACTCTGGTTCTGCAGAGCTGCCATACGCAGAGCCAAAGGCCTGGCACAAGTGGATTGAGGGGAGGATGCATTTTGCAGATATTTCAGATTAGTTTATTAGTAGTTTATGGATTGGGGAGTTGAGCAATATGTTGGAGCTGGGTTTTGTGGAGCTGGAGCCGTAGAACACAAAAGTCAGATGGTATTATTGAACCGTTTCTGGTTATTCCGCGAAGCGGCTTTGAATGTTGATGATGATGTTGTTGTTGTTATTGTTGAAGATGGGCATAACCTGAAGAACCAAAAAAAATAAAAATACATAAAAACGAAGAAAATCAAGTATAGGCCATGATCGAACTAGACCCCCTGTGTCATTAACTATATGCCAACCAGCAACTCTGGGGTCCATAAAAATAAATTGCACTGCCTGGTCACACATTGAGCGTTGCCATTCTCCACTGGGAACCACCATCCCACTCAAATTTTGGTGACACCTTGCTGACCCATGGCAATGACATGAAACAAACGTCAAGCTCAGCAATCCGATGAAAAACAGTTTGGCAATTGTGCTCGGTTTGAGATTCCGACTTTATTAATCCATCTCACAAGCACTCGCCGGAGGTGCACACTTTATCAAACATCATAGAGAACGACGCTGGAGAAAGCTTGGTTTTTTCCGATGGGGTTTTCCGTGGTCTTACAATTCATACATATTCACAGAGTGTCGTAGGCGATTTTCCATTTTTCCAACGAGGGATCTGGATGCAGATACAGATGCAGGTGCAGATTCAGGTTCACATGGGGTTATGGACAGAAACAGATCCATCGACGGACAGGACAACACGGCATCCAGAACAGCGAACTTACGTGCCGGATCATATGCGCAATTGGACCCCCGTTTCCTCCTTTCGACCATCCTTTATCTCCAGCAACGAATCACTAACTACCAGCGGCCTAGAGCCTGTGTGAGAACGAGAACTACCAATCAAGCCGACCTTGGAAGATCATCCAGAGAGTGATGATACGGACCCCACCGCTGGCGGCTTCTCTCTGACAGAAACTTCTTGAAACTAACTACTCCAAGAACGGGATGATGGTGTCAAAGGGCGTGTATACGATATGGGGTTCCTTGCTCAGAGAGGAGCGTGAGACGATAACCAAGCAGATGATGGATTGTCTTGGACTGCGGTTGCGGAAGGAAAAGCCTTAATGAAGAGCATCAAAATGGCCCAAATACGTGCGGTTGAAGAACTGAGGAAGGTGGTTATTTTAACACTATTAACTAACGTTCTTATATCTAGCTTGAAAACGTCGCATTCGATAGATCTCTTTAGTCGTTTGCAAGGTAAGGTGCTCATTCCCTTATATATATTTGCGGCTCTCCTACCGTCGATTTTGACTGTCACAGCTGCCTTTATGGTAACTAACTATATAGGACCGCTCCCGCTCCTTTATCTCATATGATCAATCGTTACCTTGTCAACTCCTAATCTAGTTTAGGCACAATTGAGAATCTTGAAGATCTGCTCAAGACAAGATGATTCTATAATAATGTCTAAACCCCTGTTCTCCACCATACAAAACCTCCCCTCCGACAACACTATCTTCATCATAGGAAGTGGCATCGTAGCACTAGCACGCTATCTTGGCAAATCTACCAGTTCCAGCAATTGAAAGCCGCAGATTGTGGTTCCGGGACAAAATACCCTAACTCCCTACAGGGCTCAAGTGCCTATACGCCGGGGTTGTCGGCCAATTCAATGACAACCCCGTAGCAACTAAGTTGGCAGTGAACAGTGTCGGGGAATACCGCACCATCCCCAAGGGATTTAAAGTTGATAGGGGGATGGAATTGACATATACAGAATCAAGGGTGAAGGAGTTAAAAAAAAGAAACGGTGCAGCAACGCGCTGACTGCAAGGTTACCCACTTGAGACGATTTAGCACCGAGAAAGCAGCATCCCTTGCTCCGGATTTTGTCAAGACAGAATATATATCAAGGGCGTGTTAGATTTTCCGTCTGACTGACCGGCAAATCCCTTGACGATTACCTCGTACTTTCGACAGAAGGATACGGAAGAATGATCAAAACTAGCTCTTTTGTTCAGGCGGGTGTTCTAGGCTAGGAAGACGTCTCGGGGGAAGATGGGTGTGAAGTGAATGCTGATAATGAGGATGTTCTTTTAACTTAAGCCTTTAATCCGGATAGATTTGTCCGGACTGGTTCAGAAGACCTGACGAGACTGGCGTTGAGGCGGTATAATGATATCTACAGTAGCGAGCCATTGTGAAGTGATACACTGGTAACTGTTAATATTATCTTCCATGCTACACTCAACCCTTGAGGCCTTTTTTTTTTTTTTTTGGGATTTGTGTGCGCTGTACATAACTTACATCGATGGTTACCAAGGAAAGAGAGGTGAGATGTTGATTGGTTGCGGGGAACCTTCCGAGTTTTGATACACATCACGTGGATAATTATTACATCATCCCCCACCCGCATAGACTCGGGATCATCTTGTAACAACCAACGACGACGAACATCCATGGTTGGAACGAAACCCATCAGGATGTACATATAATTGAGAATGTGAAGGAGGGCTGTATTGTACATTCACTATCCCTTATTCTTTCCCATCTTCATGATTTTTGGTACTTGTACTTCTTTGGTTTCTCCGAGTCAGATTAGCAGCCGTCAATCGTACAACTGCATGAAAACTCAGATGATAAAAGATTATTCAAAAGGCAAAAGAGACAACTGCTTACCCTCCGAAGTGCTGCAACCATGGCCATTGATGAGCGCGATGACCCTCTTGTTAAGGCACTCCCTCCCGAAACAGACTATCTCACTTATCTCACAATTCTAGAATACCAATTGACCCCCGAACACCTGCCAATCTTGCACAATCTGCTCCAGGATGAGAAGTTAACGACGAATATTGGCTGGGATTTAGTCCAGCTGCTTCTTCCAATGGTTCCTGCGTCGCAGGAATGTCTTCAAGATGTGGCTAGACTTGGGAATCCCAGAGAGGTTATTTTGCGGGTTTCCAATTCGTTGATGAAGCTAGAACCCGTGGATGAGGATGGTGATAACGAAGGAGATTATGAAAAGGGGCTCAGTGAAGCGGTTGGTGGAGTCAGGCTGGAGGAAAACGCAAACGCGAAAGACGATATAGTTATACATGATCAAACTACAGTTACTCCCAGAGTTCCCTTGCACATCTTGCAATTCAACTGCCTCGTTTCCATGCTCGCAGTTCTCCACTCCCGCATCCAGACGAAATATCCCAGTCGTTTTGTCGCGACCTCTCTACAAGCTGTACTAGAAGCATACACTGCTTTCCCTACTGTGGAGACGACTGCAGCAGTGTTGGAATTTTTCAGAGACACAGCGGGGAAAAAACGGCCACGTCTCCCACCCCGGAATATGAGTGAATCACTCGTTCCGCAAGTGACTAAAGAATCAGCGCCAGACCCAGAGGCTGAATGGCATCTGGGGACCGTAGCATCCGAGGAATGGGCTGTGATCCAAAGGCTTATGCAGTTTGGTCTCGTGGAGCTTCTGAAAACATATCTCTTGCACTGTATCGACGAGCCACCTGCAGGAATGCGGTGGGCGCTTCGATTGCAGGAGAAATTAGATACAAACAATCGGATGCCAGCGTCATTAAGTTTCACTGAGGATTTCGGAAAGCTCGAGAGTTTGAAAGAGCGGGATATGGCGGTTGGGAAAATTATTGTATGGTTTCTTCAATAAATATCCGATATCCTGGTTTTTGAGCATTATTTCTAATTTTTTTTTTTTATTTTCCAGGCATTGTCACGAGACTTTGGCATTGAAACAAAAGAGCTTCTTGAGATCATTTCCAAGCCCAACGATCAGCAACTACCGCCTCTCGATTTCGAAGAAACGCCTAAACGAGCTGAGGATATTCCTCTTCAAAGGCATGGCTGTCTTCTGCTGCTGGCAGCGCGATGTGCAGCTGATAAACTCCTCTCTTCGGGCCAGCCAGTGGAGCCCATTCCCGTCTTCCCTGATCTTGCTGTCATATTTTCCAATTTTCTGGGGGAGGGTGAATCTGCATATTCCACGGTTATCTCAGAGCCCGAAGCTCTCGTTGACTCACTCCTTTCCCTGGCTGTTATCGCCAGTTGTGAACCTGTTGCACATCCCCATAGCCAAACTGAATTTGGCCAATTCATGCTCCAGCTCACTGCTTGCATCCGTGCACCAAGTTTCCGGAGTTTCAGTCGAATGGCCCGGATCCCATCGAAGATATTTCACAGTAACCCTGACTCCCTCGCCCGATTCAACCTAGTGTGTAGAATTCTCGACGACGATAATCTAGAATACTCCCGAGAGACAGCGATGGGATGGGTGAAGGAGGAGCTTATTGCAGCAACAGCACCAAGCCCACTGGATCAGAAAGAGAAGAGAGAATGCATATTTACTGATCCCAAGTCATTTGCAAGCCTATTCCCAAAAATCTACAAGCCCATTCCGGACGGGTGGCTTACGCTCAGAACAGCCAAAACCGAAGACCTTATCAACATCTGGATGACGTTTACTCAACATAGCCTCCCCTTCCATCTTTCCGTCCTGAACCTGTTGTATTTCCTCACCCAATCGCAAGCACTACTCGAACATTTACAAATGAAAAAATTCTACCCGTACCTCCGGTCCAAGTTTTTGGAGCCGCTACAGGCATTTATGCAGAATATTTTGACAGACGCGGAGATCACGGCACGAGTTGAGATGGAAGTTGGCGATGAGACGGTTCAGGTGGGGAAAGGTGCGGCGGACCTAGTCTTGCATATTATTGCGGAAATTGAGGAAGGGTTAGCTGGGGTATTAGGGGATTTGGAGGGTTAGTTAAGAAGGGTTCTTGAGGCTATTTGGAGGTTTCCACTGGGGCTGACCTGAAGCGCCATTTTCCAAGTTTAGAGGGGTGATTTTGAACCCTGACGTATTTTTTAAAGGAATCTTTCAATGCATGCATGTCCTGGCTTTGGATCAATATGATGAGGTGCCAATTGGGCTAATTGGAGCCTACTCTGCCATAGTTGCAGTTTTCCAGTTATATATTTTTGTTCTTGCTTTGTGTTATTTAACTAACAGTCGGGACGAAGTCGATACAAATTTGGCCTTGAGATGTCTTTGGTGTCAACATCAATTTTTCTGCTTTGAAGGTCGGGAGATATTCACCACTTCTCTCCCAACTTCTGGGCTTAAGACGGCGTTTGATCGACGTCAAGACACTGTCTCTTGGTGACTCAACATCCTTGGCATCTTCGTAACTATCCTGAGGAGGGCTGAACCATCCCTGCACTTCAGCAAACCTTGGAACATAGCGCGACGACTGATGCGACAAAACCACTGGGCACTTTTGCTCGTTGTTTCATAGCGAAAATAACACGATTTCTTCTGACGAGAATCTCCATTTGAAGACAGGCTCTTCCCTGACCATCAACCTACACCCAAGCTCTCCTCAAGCTCCGAACACGCGGGGTTGATACCAAAGCCAACAAAGCCAGCACCTGATTTCATAGATATGAAATAACTATATGCGACAGAATTGCCGATTCCTGTCACGTTAAGCAAACAGCCCATTATTCCCATCCTAACCCTTGGGAGCCAACAACCTCCAAATCATGATATTCAAACCGTCCCCCAAAATCCCCACCGCAAAACGCAGCTCTCTCATTTCTACCACGCTCCTCCCGCCTGATACCTCCATATTCCCCATAATTTCAAACTCTCACATATACGCCTGCACCTTAGAGAACCTCGATCCTTCGACGACAATCAACCATTCATTCCTGAAACACTCAACTGTAACATCCAACAAGCGTAGCGTAACGGAAACTTACGGTTCCAATAATGAAGAAAGTGACTGCTCCGCTGGCAGCGGCGGCTGCACCATTTCGCAAAGCCATCTCTCCAACAGTACTATCTCCAGCAGTCACATTTACTGCTGCAACGTGAAAAGTTGCACCCTCTCAAACGCAGGGTATCTCTCAGACACGCACCTGCGCAACTCAACGCTTTCTGGTGCCGTGCGAGTCATCCAATGCAAAGTCAAGGCGTCGCAATTCATATACACATTGGGTGATGACTACATCCCAGATTCTATCTCAGAAACTGACGGACCCGCAATCCAAAAAAGTGACATCTGCAACTCCATAATCGGCCCGTTGCCATGTACAATTAGTCGAGCACGACTACGGAAAGTGAAGATCTCCTGCAGTACCGTTGCTGATGCTTGTTTGGATGATTGCGATGTTGCTGATTGCATGATTACAAAGGGGAAATTTTCTGGGTTATGGTTGAGGAATGGGATTTGGGAAGGCGGGGAATTGGTTGGGAAGATGAAGGAGGGGGAGGATGTGGTGATCAAGGCGAGGGGCTTTGCTGAGATTGAAGAGAAGGAGAGGGAGAGAGAGCAAGAGAGGTTTGGCAAACTTAAAGAACAGGGCGAAGCGGGGCAAATGATGGGTGTGGGGATTGGGGATGCTGCTGTCCGTGGTGCGCAGGGAGAATTTTCTAGGGAGAGCGACAGCAGTAAAAAAATCCCCTTTCCTGAGGATTCTACAGTGAGTGCAGGAGAGAAATGATCCCATGCGTTCCTTTCCATATCTCCTACTTCTCAAAACCTGTCATGTATTAAGTTAGCTAACTGTTTACATTGAAATCCAGTCTACCAACCAACCACAAGAACCAATCCAGGTCAATTATGCCTTTCCAATGCCAGTGCCAGCAGAAACCCTTGAACAGCTAAACCAAAGCCAACAACCACCTGCCGCTGCCTCAAAAGAACAACCATACATCAGTATATGTGAAAGTACCCCCTCCCCGCCCTCAACAGTCGGCTACTCAACTTCAACAGAAAGTCTTGTTGACGTTGACGAAGACCATGAATTTCCCCTTCATGGTCCCGATGATGGAATGGTAGGCATTGGTGACGAGAAACTGCCACCATATTCGCCATAAAGGAACACTGACCACATGCTGATTTCTTTAATGTTTTGGTTTTGTGTTTTTTTACATAGCGAGGAATTTATGGTGCTACTTGTTTCCAAGAACCAAACCCCCCTCTTTTTCTTTGTGGGTGTTTGTGGTCTACTCACCCTCAAATGGTCCGCGATGTCCTACGAAATTATTTACGCAAGTGGTAAATGAGGAAATAAGACAAGAGTAAAAGCAGACTGGTTCCCCTCACCAAATGTCATATATATAAGCAAGTATAATCTCCTCTTTGCTAATAAAGCGAGAAAAAAAAAAGAAATGCTGAAAATGAAAGAAAACGGCCACCAATGGGGAAAAATAGGATGTATATGCAGCTTGTGGTATTTATGCACGGCACAGCACATTACATAAAGCGGAGTTCCATATCCACACTGGTCCATCCAGCTGCCCACACGGTAGTAGTATATACAATTCTGCCGGCCCTCTTATGTGCGAAGAACTCAAAATAAACAAAATAAACTAGACAGCGGAATTCCGGAATCCATAGCACGAGAGGTGAAGGTGGAGGAGACGAACGAATGTCGTAATGGGAACACCAAGAGAGAGTCAAGGGATAGAAACTTCACAAAAAAAAAAAAAAAAGGTAGAGAGACTATCTGTGAGAGATCTGTTTATATGCATGGGTTGTTGGATTGGATAGGAAGGGAAAAGAAAGACTTTCCATTTTCAAACCAAATATCCAATGACACATGCATATATACATTCACCCAAGATGGTTACCCTGTTTCTGATGCACTCCTAGTCTGTTTCTTCGAATACCTTAGGTTGGGTCTCAAGGCGCTGTGAAGTCAAAGTGCATGTTGGGGGCTTGTGTGAACTGAGGCCGATACATTGACAGGAATTCGGAGCGGAAGAACAAGACAAGGATAACATGGTGGTATATATCCAAAGTAAGTAACAATAAACACTCCCAGAATACATAGGAAATGTCAACAATAAATTGGGTTGTTTGATTACATTGCGCAAGGTGGGGGAGACGATCAGGGTTTTAAAACATAGTTAAGAAAAAAAAGATTGTGGTGAAGCCTTGGGGAAATGTTCCACAGAGTCTTCGTGCCAAGGTCGGATACGTTTGGTATGGGAGAAGCAACAGAATGAGCGTGGATGCGGGGAATCCTGTAGAGCACAGAGAAGAGCAAGGTGTCCGTCTGTATCGTGTGTCCGGTGGATACGTAGGAAGGTCAAGTTCTTCCCAAATGGTCTGAGGGAATCTTTTCGGAGTAGACGTTCGCCATTGATGCTGTGGTGTTCCTTTCCAGCTTATCGATGTGATATTTGCCTGAAGTGAGCAGTCTGCCTTGTAGGTTGATGTAGGGATGAAGGTGGCGGCGCTTTTCATCTCAACGGAGGACGGAAGAGAAGGATTCTATTTGCAAGGAAAACAACAAATGGTGTTTGTTGATGATGATGATGATGTGTTTCCATATTTCTGTTCCTCCGGCCTATCGAAGCCCCAACCAGGTCAAGTCCAGGAAAGCGGATAAAACATGTAAAAGAAGCGGATCAGGAGAAATGGCGAATTTCATGTATCCATAGTGTTCAGAAAGAGGTTGCGGCGTTCCATATAAAAAAGTATCCTAGGTCGAAGCAGTCTGCAAAACATTCCCAATTGGCATATGCCTTGCGTGGTAATATAGAAAGTCTACATCACGACACACTGGCCTCCGCTGTTGCGGTAGAAAATTGGACCTAAACAAGGTTAACCTGGTTCACAGGATCTTGATATGTTCAAGAGAACGGAAATTAGGCGTAGCAGCCGCCTTACCAGTGTTTGGGGTGGTGGGTGCCGAAACGTTGACAGTGTCTGGAGACATTGTGTTCGAAGGTTGTTTGGTATAATCTGAGAAATTAAGTCTCTTGCAAAGTTTGACAATTGGAAGAATTGTTCGGATTTTCCGTTTAGAATATCTCGTAAATAGAGTAAAACAAAAGAAAAGAAGATGGAGAAAAAGAGGGCAAATGGTTCATTCTTATATGCTTCATACTCCGCATATTGCAGCGATTGGCGCCAGTGAAAGCAGGGGCCTCTGCAACAACGGCGGCGAGGCGATACCCAGTAACTTTCGGTTATCATTTCAAAGGATGGTAAAAACTCAAAACTGTATGAACTCCTAAGAGGACACTGGTATTGTGGGTAGCCCTTCAGTCACTCACACGTGGTTTTGTTATCGTATTATGCATTGTGGTATAATATCTAACACAACAACACGGCCTCCAGAGCGCAATTGTTCCCAAAGGAACATTATCGGATGATTTTATCTAACCCGAGTCGTGGAGAACCCCAGAGAGGGAATGATGGAGAATTCGTTGGGGAAAATTAGGCGGGGTGTTCCTCAGTGGCCTGGTAAGCATTGTTCCGCTTCATATTGTTCTTTATCAAAACGGAAAAAGAGTGTGTGAGATTGAAACAACCAGCAATGAACTGAAGGACGAATAGAAGTGAATAATGTCATCATCGAGGATTTAAAGTAGGTGTAGCTAAAGGCATAGAGGACGTGGTAAGTTTGAACGTTGTATACGCAACCGTTTGCGGAGGATCACCAACGGTCTCCTGGTGGGAATTCGCCGGAGGTTGTAAATAAAGACAACCCGAAACCAGATCAGAGACCAAAGAACGACTGGGGAAAAGCGTACCCTCCCCAAAACCACACCAATGAAAAAGCCTCAGAGTAATTTTTTTGACCAGAAGAAAAATAGAAAATGAAACAAGTTGCTGAGCATATACTTTATGCGACTAAACCAGGAGAAATAAAATAGGGTTTGGCTGCAAGTCAACTCATTCCAACGTTAAGCTGTGGGCCCACGTTATGTCAAATGCTGTATCCAAAGTCAAAGCCATCCAATAATGTAGGCTCGATGCCCATGCCCTCGCTGACTACTTTCTCTTTGAAGCCAGCTGGCCGCCTCAAGCACGCTCTGAGTAGACCCTGAGCTGAAATGCGTCCACCGAATCTAAAAATTTAAGTTAAGCGAAAGCAACCTCAAAGATCGCGTGTAATGTTTGCTCCTACCTATGGATCAATATTAGTCTCGGTAACCGGGAACGGACTGGACTTGCATCAGATCGAAGGTCCTGTCAGGTCTTGGGCGCGAGATAAATGAGAATACCTTGGGGAATGAAACGCGTGTAACAGCGACAAAAAGGTAAAAACAAAGAAAGAAAGAAAGAAAGAAAGAAAGAAAGAAAGAAAGAAGAAAGAAACAGATGAATCCATCCCATTTGGCTTCATCGTGCCATCACACCAAGGAACTGCCGGGACAGGATTCCCTGCAAGAAAGCTATGCGTGTCCTCATATCATTTAGAAATTAACACACGATATACCGGCCTGTGCTTGCGACCTTAGGCCCAACCTTTGGCTGCCAGAATTGCATCCACCTACGCCCGCAGTTGCTCTTTGCAGGAAAATATGCACAATTATCTGGTGTCGTATATCACAGCTCCAACGTCCGGCTGGACGCAGAAGAACCCGGACATTGATCATGATAACTACCCGATGTTTTTGCTTGGCGACATCTCAACAGAACCATACCCAAAAGCAAGCAATGGCCCTCACCTCGCCACAAACCTCATCTCCAGGTTTCAGAGTTTGATAGCGAAATGACTTGCAGTGACAAGAAGCCAGTGAGGTGCAATTGAAGCCAATCCAGCGGTCATCGCTGGATGTCTTATCCACAGCGCTAAATCAACCTCAAAATATTTCCCACAACACTCCACCGGTCCAAGATAACACTGCGGCGGGACCATGTCGATTCAATCTCCCGTGTCCATCAGATCGGGTATGGGATATTCCATAGGGACCCTGTTGTAAATGTCCTGAGGTGATAGGGAGTTGTTGATGAAGCATGTCGTTGGAATTAACTTCGCTGGTGACTCCGGCTAACCCAAAGACGTCTTATTCCAAGCACACTATGCCACATGCAAATCAAGTCTCAAGCAGTAAACCAATCAGGAGTAAGACCTATCCTTAAAAAAAAAGGCCTCAATCTAAAAAAAGAGATGTGGAAATAAAACATTCAGTTTACGATTGTTCTTTCGCTGAACAATATCAAGCCTAACAATATTCACCGAGCTTCGATCCCCGACCTCATAATCACTTCACCACGGTGAATAGGGACCTTCCCCAATAAACTGACCAGTCGATGACGGAAGGGAAAATCGGAAACGTCAAAATTTGCGGGGGAGGATTGGGATGGTTGTGAGTGTTAGGGAGAAGACGTTGTTAGCAAATATCTACCAAAAGCCATAGCTTCCGGATAGATACCCCCGCTACTGGCCTTACTGTGAAAGAAGAGATAAGATAAATGTCGTGAATCCACTTTGCATCTCATGTCGTCATTTGTTAGAAGAAGCGGGGGATGTAACCAAAGTAAATCCTAAAGATAGAGGCCAAGATCGGTGCTCATCACCGCAGCGGCTACATAGCTGCCCTGATATATCGAATGATCAAGGAAACCATTCTCTGCAACATATTACTTAGCCAAGTACCCAAGGTCAACCAGTAGTGATCACACATCCACAAACATAGCGTATACATAGAAAAAAAAACCATAAATACAGGATCGTACCAAGAAGAAATGTATTAAATAAGCAAACATATAAAATCAAGAAAGATAAGAAGAAGACGGGGAACCGCTTTAGGTATATAGGGTCGCCGTAAGGCTGTTAAATCCAATCCCCTCCTTCGCAATATCTTCCTCTATCAAAAACATCAACGGCATCTCCACAAGGCTACCCTTCACCTTACTCAACTCTTCTTTGACCTGCTGCACACCTTCCGGGAAATCGTCGCGAATGACATGCCCGACCAAATACTGTGGAGTCTCCGCAATCCCTTCCTCCCCCTTCTTCTTTTTTGTCTTATCATCAATGGGACTGCGGAAATAATATTCGTAGAACTCCTTGTAATCGTTCCAGTTGCGGACCGTGTCATCTGGGACGGCATGGAAGACCTTACGGAAGACC